AAGTGTAAAGAAATTCGCCAGTACTTGTACCAAAACCATAACAGTCAGCTGTTTATCTAATTCTTGTCGAGCAATAGGAACGGTACCACGTGATATCCGTCGAATATTTCCATAGGCCATTGAGCCAAAACTTGCTGTTATAGAGAAAGGCAAGAAGCCGAGAAGAATTAAAACAATGAAATAAGTGCGATATTGTATGTAGAATGCATTCGTCGTTTCGCAACTAACTTTATTTGTTCCATTTGCAGTGACATGATTGTTAAAAATTGCATACGGTATTCCGTGTAAAATCCAAACTAAACTGAATACGAGAACCAAGGATAAAGCTACGCGAAAGTGACACATTCTTTTTAAACATGCCCAATGAGCTGTAGCACAATACTGATCAATTGTAGCCAGACAAAAACATGTCAGCGATATCATTACACATATGTGAGAGAAATACAAGCGAAATTTACAATAAAACAAAGAGACGTCTGTTCCATCGCTGCCATAAGCATAGAGAAAAATACGAGGCAATAAACCCGTGCATAACTGGCCAATATTGAATATCGACATTATGGTCAGATACAATGCACATGAGTTCTGCCGAAATGTTCGAAGAGTGAGAAATACTGTTAGATTTAGAAGTCCGCCAATAACACCTACGGACAAAACTACAAAGCCACCATAGATAGCGATGTTACTTCCAATTGATTTCAACGACGAAATGTATTTCGAGGACATTTTTAAACAGCAATCTCTTGAGGCCGGTCCTGCTCTCCGATTCTCAACTAGGAAATGAATGTTGTCAAAGAAGACTTCCTATAAATATAGCCGAAGGATACGTGTTTAAGTCTTTTATAATTTTCGATCCAGATTTTTGTTCGACTTACAATGATAAATAAACTCGTTCTTAATCACATACAAATACTTCGTTAATCATGAGTATTCTTTACTCTTTCAAAAGTTAGCAGCCTTTGACATGCATATATGTTTACAAGATGAGAAACTCCACTTCTAAATTTAAAAGCTCTAATAAATAGTGTACTGATATTTCGCTCGAGATGATGATGGGCTCGATCCGCTGTTGATATCGAGGTTGCATTAGTGCCAAAAATCGTATAATGATGAAGGATATTTTTGTGTAATGACAAACGAGCCATCTTTATTTGTCCTGGATGCAAAAAAAATAGAAGGGTTGTTTGTTACGTGTATTCTGCTGAATTCGGTGATAAACATGATGATGCGGGATTTTGCCCATTATAATGGGAATTTTCTCTGTGAGGAGATTATATATCAGTCACATTTTATATTGAAAGCGTTATATTTCTTCATGACGTGCAACCAGTTGATTGTGTTGCTCGATTGTCATACCAATGTTTCGAGCAACAGTTTGCGTGCAAAATTAACTATGGATGAATCTCAATGTGTGAAGATCTTTACCGCAGTAGATTCGTGTCTTACATTTCTCGAGAAGAACATCAACAAGCGAATCTATTTTATTGTGCCTAGTTCATTCGATCCAACGGCAGTGCTATTGATCTGCGATCATGAAAATGTACATCACGTCTATTCACTTCATGGAGATATTGCAAGTCATACCAATTTGGCGGAAGGTTATGCAAATAAATTAACCACGTTCGATCATGAAGATAATTTAATAGATAGACTTTTCCAAGATATTGAAACTTATCTACGTCAACAAGCAAACGAATGCATCATACAAGCTAATATCTACAAAGAACGTGCGAAACAGGTTAACACAGGGTGCTGTGGTTGATCACACAAAAACATTTAACAACATAAAATTCCTCAATTGCTACCACTAAATTTTGAGGCATACGTTATATCACAAGATACAATCTGAGTCAACCGCTTCTTCACCTGCTAACAGTACTTCAGCTTTGTACTCTTTTTTTTGGAGGTCCAGTTTGACCCACAATGTTGTTTTTCGCTCTTTATTATATCAAAACTTACGTATTTTGAGGTAATGCTTTAGCTAACCGTTAGTCATCTAACAGCAGATCGAAGTCTTATGAAATTTCATAGAAACTCACGAACATTAAAAACCTAAAGGACAGGCCCATACGGATCCTATGACATTTTTTTTGTGATACAGAAGTGATTTCTCGTCCCAGAAATGGAACCATATATTGTCGCAGATGACCACCAATGTGAAGCGGCTAATTCAATCCAGTAACACTTCTAGGAAAGAAGCTAATTAATTTTACTCAAAAAACGCTGCATCGTTTTTAGCTGCATATTGGTGTTGTATCATATTGTTATCTCTTTTAGAACTAAAATTCAATACATAAAACAAACTTCCGGCGTTTTCAATGTTTAAATATTTATATGTAATTATAATACGGATAAAACTAATCGATAGCTAGTATAACAGAAAAATGGAATTCACTGTTTTAATATATATTTACATGTGGATCTAGCTGGACCCACATGGCATCGATCTAAGTGGAAAAAAACGCGAACAGCGTACAATGGTTGAAAAATAGGCTTCTACAGAATGTGTCACTCTTGTACTACTTCCATCGATATACGCATGAGATTTAGATGATATGTCTACTATTCGAAAGTGTCTCTTGTTCGATGATGATCAAAAATAGATGGATATGGTCTTTTATGCGCTATTCCAAATTGAGATGGATCTGGATACGCCGTGATATTCCACTTTTTTGAGAGAATACTCATAATAGTTTGATCATGGCGATGATCACGGAATTCACGATAGTTCTTTTGACCGAGAACATTATTATCGTCAGTAATAGCTCGAGTATCTTGCGCGTAGGTCAACCATTCCGAAACAAAAGTCATACTGATAAAACTTTTCTTGATCACTAAATACGAAGCAAGATTGCCCCATGTATCCGTATATCGCGGTTCATCAGCATTCATAAGAATAAATGTGTCTCGTTTTGCCCATACTTTTTCCTAGAAAAGAACAAAACTCTACAATTTCATGGGACCTCTGTATAGTCTTACTTGAAGGCCTGTAAGTTCGAATAGAACAATATCTTGTCGATCGGTTAATCTTGTCAGATGAGAGATATTTGCAACAAAATTCACTAAAGCATCCGAATAAACGATAATATCGCCTTCACGAGCATAGTACAGTTCTTGGAGGATTATATAGGGTTTCCATAGCCAATAACCAGCGCCACGCTTCCTATTGAGAAGGTTTCTATTCCGATAGACAAAATTTGGATTGTTGTCCAGACTATTTTTATTATATAAAGCGCATTGTTGAATTCCGTACTGCATGCCTGTTAAACAGTTCTTTTTCTGAGCCTTTTGACAACATCGATCAGCAAAGTTAACCAGAAGAGGATAGCAACGTTGCTCTACTGCATTTGTACCATGGATAACGATTGATTGGCATGAATTCGACGGCACTCGAATTAGAGGTGCCATTTGACTAGGTAATTTGGTGTTATTAGACATCATTTTTAGAGCGAGTAGGGAGAAAACGCCGCCCGTTAGCAGAATACATAGGAAGCGAGAAAAAGTATGTGACAGTATACGAGACATATTACCAATATGCACACTTATGCAGATTACACGGCAGTAAATACCGAATTATGAGAGAAGAGAAAAGCATTAAGCAAATATAGACAAATTCTAATAAATTCTACCATTCTCTGTCAAATAGACTGGAGTTAGTGTATGCTCACATATATCTGTTGAGCAGTACGCCCTATCCATGCAGCTCTATTTGTTCTTTATCAGTTTTCTAATGAAAAGCAAATAAAATAGGGCAACTGACAAGCTCTCCGACATGCGCCGTATACGATTCATGAGGAAGAAATAAATATTGGTGTAGTTTCATCAGCACATACATCTCTTCCATCAAAAATCGTAACAACAATCGAATTAGTAAAGCTTCAATGCGCGGATGTCCTGGAAAGGTTGACGACAGGCAAAGCTCGAGCAATATTTTTGCTGATTTTTTATGGGATCCAATGCAGTACGATGCGCTGAATCTGAATATGTATGATTTATTTGGATAAAAAATGATCTTCCTACGGGAAATCGAAAAATACAGTAAATACCGAGAGTTTCAAAAACAAGGTTTGCTACTACGATTTTCACGATGGGACTTCGAAAAAATTCAACATTAAGAACTGATTTTAAGGACACTACTTTTCGGGCGCTCGGGCTATTTCTTTAATATTAAAAAAAATTCGTTTCTGTCGATGTACGGACTAATCGAATCCTCACATTGCAAATGCATCAACTCATTTTCTAGTGAAGATAGATACTTTTTTCTTTCAGCATTCGACTTCTTGGATACCCTAGATATAATCCACGTATGCTCTTTCCTTAACTCACTTTCTTTCTCAAAACATGTCCTAGTCATTTTTCGACCTTTCCTATCGTACATGTATTCTTTTTATTTTCAACAGCTTTTTTCACCTTATTTCTTTTTCCTAATCCAGTTACGTCTTCAAAATGAAAAAGGCCATTGTTGTTATTTAGTATAGAGCCGATCTGACTACTTTTAAAATATTTAAGATTGTGGGTGAAATCGGGTTGGTTGAGGGTGGACACAATTTCCGTGTTTCTGAAAGTTATAAAAACACTCATATATCGTAGACACCTTCATCCTCACCCTTTCTATCGTACTGAGTCTCTTGTATCAAATAGATGTCACTTATCTTTGATATAGGCGAGGTAAAATAGATTACTAATCTATTTGTTTTGTTGGATTTCGTTTTCCCCAATCGTAATTTTTCGTTCTTCAACTATAACTACTAGCATGCTTTTAACTCGATTTGATACAAAACACACGTGAAATTGACCTGATCGAGTGAAGTGTACTAAGGATTTAGTAAGTGAAATTTTGTGTTTAATTTATTCTTTTTATAACAGCATAAAATTGACTATCCGTTGCGAAACAAAGAATCAAATCAAACAAAAGAAAACTTCTTTACACGCATATACATCTCGTTGATTTCCATTTTTTGTTTTGCGTTTCTTTCACTGTTCGAGAAAGACTGTGAAAATCAAATACTTGATTGCATCGGTGGTAAAAGATGAGCTTTTTTACAAGCCACTGCTGCTGCCATGGTTGCTGCCGGCGACGGATGCGGACGATACCGATAATTACTAAAACATCGCCCAAATGTACCATTCCATAGTTCAATTCGAAATTGTTTCGATCGATACGCATAAACAATTGGATTTACTAGTGAATTGACGTTAGCGATTAGGATGAGAACATGAATGATGAGATTATTTTTAAAATCCATCCATGTGTGACTTAACAAATAGATTAATAACGGTAGCCAACAAAGATAGAATCCGACGAGAAGAACAAGCAATGTTCGAAGTGCGCGAAGACTACGACGGATATTCACGCGAAAGAGACCTGTACGTTCTCGCCCATCATGTGATCGATCGAAATTTTTACACATGGTCAACGGAAAACACCTTTGTAAGTGTTTGGCATCATCGAACTGCTTGTCTTCAGCGGTTGGTTGCTCGTAGACTGATGATGAACATTGGGTTCTTAAGCGTTCAATTCTCATTAGATGATCTCGTGCGAGAAAAAATATTCGAACATAAATATACAAAATGATGATTGCAGCAAGAAGACTGATCGTTGCGAATAATGAACAATAGCCAGTTGTAAATACTCTATGAATCAAACAAGTATTCGGCACGCATAAACCTTGTTTCGATGACGAACAACGATTCATTTTGTTCCAGCCAAGTAATGGAAGAAGGCCGACTAATATTGATATCGACCATAAACTCGATATCCACAATAGACAACGACGTTTCGTGATAATTTTTTGGTAAGAATACGGTTTGAAGATGTATATGTATTTATCAATTGAGATGGATAATAAGATTGAGACTGACATTAACATACCGGACATGATAAAAGCGTAGGCGATCAAACAGATGTAATAATTATTTCGTATTAGATTTAAACGCGTTAATAGATTAGAGTTGTAGTTAACGACAGCATATTCAACGAGAATATTCATTACGCATGGATATAGAAATGAACATCCGCTAAGAAAATCTGCGATGGATAGATTTAATAAGAAGACATTGGTGATAAATGAGCGTAGTTTGATTGAATTTATAATTGTTAGCGTAACAATCGTATTAAGAATGATAACAAGGACAGATAAGAGAATTCCAATAATGAATAGGATAAACTTTCGTCGTACTTCATTAGAATACTTCTCGCACTCATTATGGTTCATTGTTTCGATATACCGACGAAAGTAACTAACTAACGGATCGATTGTAATTGAAAGATTCTCATATGTAGGTGAAGTTGGTGCGTATAAAACTTCGCATTGTGCAACAGTAAGGAGATGACAAATACGAGCATTGAATAATACAAATGTATATGTGTTTGTATGACGCTTTTGTAACGATACAAGTTGATTGTATTCAATAAGATTTAACGTACAGTTATTCATAATTTCGCGTTTGGTTCACTTTGTCTTGCTTTATGATAGTTGACCTGCTGACGCGTCACATATGACCATAACAGTGGTACACAGGTTACATCTTCCGTTCGAACATTGAAGGAGGAGAAGGAGGAGTCATGAGCGAATAAAGAGTGAAGATATACATACACGACAAACTATTCGCACACGTTCAAAGTTAGTCGACCGGAGCTTGTCTTTGTTTCGAATATCACGTCTCAATGAAAAACGAAGAGGAGGAAAAAAGATTGTTTATTTTTCTCGAGTTTCTTTTTCTTTTGATAATTGAGTACAAGCGATCGTTAGCTCATGACGAATGTTCTATACATATCTACGTGTATGTATGTGTGTGTATGCGTGCATGCGTATGCATTGATTGCATAAATCAATAAAAATTGTCTTGCCAATGGGACAAAAGTCAGCTGGAAAGAAAAGTAAAAGGGGTGTAGTGAGAGACAATATGGCTGACAAGATTAAACTTGTTCATATTAAAAAGAAAAGTTCCTCTCCCTCTCTCTCTCTTCTAGATGGTTGTAATTCTTAATTCCAAACAAAGATGACTTCGGCACAACATTCACCGTGTCAATTTAAACACCATCTACCTGAATATCTATCAGGATTTTGCTCATCAGCAACGAATATTATTGTAACATATCCTGTAAATAAATTGATCTTTCGACAACAAATCTACCGGTTGAGAACGCTCGATGCCTATAAACAACTAAAATACGAAGGTTTCACAATCCTCTATCGTGGCATGGCCTTACCATTATTACAAAAGACGTTCTCCTTAAGTATAATGTTTGGAACCAATTCTCATTATTTACAAATATTTCAGTCCTTCTCGCGAACTAACCAATGGTACCATCAGCCTTTAGCATCAGCCCTAGCTGGAAGTACCGAAGCTTTGCTGACACCATTGGAACGTACACAAGTTTTACTCCAAACATCGAAATACAATCATGTCATTCGGAATGGTTTTCATGCCTTTACTTTAATGTATCAACACTATGGAATCATTGAATACTATCGTGGATTGACATTGATCTTAATTCGCAATAGTTTATCCAATATGATTTTCTTTGCTTGCCGAAAGCCAATCAAAGATGTTTTACCCCGATCGTCATCGCATCTTCAGCATTCTATCTATGATTTCTTCACTGGTGGTCTACTCGGTGCACTTTTATCGACATTCATCTATCCGTTGAATGTTATAAAAAATGTCCAACAATCCGAACTCGGTGGTCGATATGATCGTCCAATAAGTATCTTCCGGTCTGTTTATGAACAACGTGGTAATTCTATGAAGGAATTCTATATCGGTGCTAAATGGAACTTCGTTCGCAGTCTGATATCATGGGGAATAATCAATAGTACATATGAATATTATTTAACAACGATACGAACATCCATTTCTGACGGTGATTGATATGTTCTTCCGAATAGTGAGCAATGAATGAAAATGAGTTTTTTGTATTTTTCATGTTTCGGTGTTTTTCTTTTGGAATAACAAAGATAGACTGAATAGAAACTATTTTAAAAGAAAAATGATGATACAAAAAATTGAATAAAAAACTTCGAATTGTACGTTTCGAATAGAATTGTTCATGGGCACATTTCCATACGCGTAATTGCTTGCGATTTCTTTAATCATTCGTAATTTATTCACATGATCATTACAATTATCAACATTACATCTGACCAAATCGCGCGAAGTTTCAAGTAGATCGCTGGTCGGTGATGGAACGACGAATTCTATGTGAATACCCAAGTTTGTATCGGTTGCACATTCTTGTTTCAAGTCGTTCGAGTAGGCATAACAAGTTGGATATTGACTATCCCGTATTGGACATTGTACACTTTTTCCGATAGATATATCGTAACAGGAGAGAATATTTGATGGATTGTCCGTGTATATTAATGGTTTTAATGCATAATATGGATTCTTTTGATTGCGATATTTATTGAAAAGAGTTTTCGCTTCACTTACAGCACATTCATCTGTATTTTTACAATAAATATCTGCTATGAGCGTTGTTTCTTTTGTTTTAGCATTGGCTATTACTTGATACTTGATTATATTCGAGAGACCGTAGGTGACGATTAGATTTTCATATTTGCGTTCGTCAATAGCACCAATAGTTATTCCAAATGTATAATTGAGATATTTTGGATATGTATTATCCTTGTAATAAGCAACGATTCGTCCTTTACAGACGTCAGTTGAAGAATCGTTGAAACAATATTTCTGAATGGATGGTTCTATGAACGATGATGAATACTTATCGTGGATAATTTGGCAGCTTTTCGAGCAAAATAATGCGAAATTTGGCGAAATGATGCCAAAACAAAGAAGAACAACAAACATCTGTAAGAAAAACGAATCGTGCTCTTCTTTTGTGAATCTAAGCAGGAGAGCATATCAACGGCAAAAAAAAGAAAGAAAATGCCAGCGCGTACCAATATACGTGATCACTAGCAGTTATTTTTAGGTATACAGACATGAAGATAACTCTCTTATCATGATGGATAAGACTGTTCTTTGAGAAAGATGATAACTTACAAAGGAGAACTCGTATTTCGTTTATCTGTCGGTACAATAACGAAGGAGAGGCGTATATATAGACAATCGATCATGCATGACATTGACGGAAGAAACACACACATAGATGAATTTTTATTGTAAATTAATGGTGATTTCGTTCCCAACAAAGTGTTCAACAAAAACAAACCACTCAAAGGATATCTCGAATACATCCAAATATGTCTGACCTCATTTTAGTAGTACAAACAAAGTAATTATGTCGCGAAATTACATCTTACTTTACCTCCATCTTCGATGTTCATAACGAAGCATTTACCAAACTACTTGTCATCGGTCATATGTCAATCAGTTTTTCATCCGTTGATAATCAATTGTTTCGGTATTCTAATCTGTATGTTTATATATAGACATGAAACAAAAACAATTATTTATGTTTCACGTAGACAAAACGAAAAAAGAAATTTACAAGAAATCACACGCATATAACGACAAACTCAACATTGTGTTGACGAAAAGAACGAAAGCGTTCGATGTTAAACCTACGGACAAGATGCTTTCATCTGCCAATTATATACTTCAGTTTGACTAGTAAGACCGAGATGTCTTGATACCCAGATTGACGAAGATGTTGAGATGAGTCAATCACAAAGACATCTTGTTTTTGGTGTGACGTTTTTCATGTTTCGACAAGTGGTCACTGCGCATAAATGCCTTTTGACAAAAGGAACAAACATGCTTCTTTTCACCAGTATGTGTTCGTCGATGGCGGCTTAATTCGTCCGATCTTGCGAACGTTTTATCGCAGCCAGGCCATGAGCATGAAAATGGTTTTTCGCCTAAAAAAAGCAAAAAAAGAATAAATACTCGGATGCTTTGGCTCCTTTAATATCCTATCATGCACATAAAGCCGTTAGTTTTAAGTACGTCTGACCTTGACTGTTCCTACGGTAAAAGGCAAATACGCCTCTGCCTATTTTTCTTTCTCTTCCTGTCCTTGATGATATGTAAATGTGGCTACGGCATAGTAACATGATTTTCGACTACATTACTGAGGGAACATGCAAATGAAATTTACCGGTGTGTAAACGAATATGGGCTTTGAGATGCGAGGATTTGAAATATGACTTCGTACAACCAGGATATGTACATTTGTGATTTTTCTTGCGAATCGGTGTTGGCTTGGATATTAATAAATCACCGTTGGATGATGATGGTGGAACGAGAAACGCTGTTTGGGCAACAGGAACGTATTCACCATTTACGTGAACATAGAGAACATGATACTGTGATTTTGAATTTGTTGATGCTAAAGTTGATTGACTATCGTCAATTGATGATGAAAATGGCGATGTACAAGGAGTTGAGGAGGGTTCAGAGGAGCATTCATCCGATGGCGATGACGATAGTGAGTGTGATCGTTTGACGCATGCTAAACTGTCGAAGGTTGGCGCTGGCGTTTGTATTGGTTCACCAATATACTAAAGCGGAAGAGGTAGATGAAAAAAATCAAATGATTGGTGAGAGTCTACCGGTCGAAATTTTGGATGAAGTTTCCTTGGTTTTTCTGTTGTGGAACGGATTGAAAGTAGCAGTTCGGCGTCCTGAACACTAGCAGGTGGCTCCTAAAATATACCAGTCAATGAGATGATTTTTCAGAATTCGTTTCCACTTACATTCATTTCAACTTTCAGAGCGTTTAAACTAAACTGGCCTGTTTGTGGACACATAATTGTATCTATTCCCGGTAGGCTCTGCTTTTTAAGCGATTGAAAACTAGCTGATGCAATGCAAGGTAACGTTTGAATCATAAGTGTAATTCTGATTTGTGTTTTATACAGATTCCGATGTATTATTAACTTTTGTGTGTGTCTGAACTGTGTAAGTACATCACGCTAACGCTGCGTGATCGTGTATGTAGTCAGTCGCTGATCACGCCGCGAAGGTGTGTTACGAAGAGAAAGAGAATAGACATTAGATCCTATTCCATTGACAATCAGAACAGAACAAAACACACCCCTCCATCATAGAGGTGTACGGAAAGAAGACGAGAGGAAGGAGCATGCGCTTGCTTTATGATTCGGCAAACTGCTAACGTAACTTACTGACGATAGCAATGCATTATCAGAGGATGAAAGAATGTAGAGAAATGTTTTGCACTTTGACATCTAGTCTGAATCACGAGCTCAACGTACATTTGAATTGGACTTTCGAATGAAATGTAAAACAAAGACATCTTCATTCTCTTTATATAGTTCAGCGATCACGTCAGCGTAAATATTGTTTCGCGTTCTTTCTATCTAAATGTCCTTATCATAGAACGACATAAATCGATTACTTGTCGTGTAGTAGACACATACAGATTACACCCTCCATATGGCACTAATAGGTTTTCTTTTTAACCGTTAGGTGGCACGTGAAAAAGAACGTTTTACAAATATATTTTTAATAGCGTTCGAAATTAAAAAATACATTCACATCGGGTCATGTGTACCGAACTTCGGCCAACGACTTTTTTTCGAATTCATCCAAACTGTGTGTTTTCATATGATTCATGTGTCTAAAGTATTATGACGGGACTTTGGATGGTGTGATAGGCGTAAAAATAATATTAACAGACGCTATCTCTTCGGTAGTAATAATAGATGAATACTTTTCATATTTTTTTCTCTCCAATATTATTTTATCTGTATCAACATAATATAAAAAAAACTATTTACTTGAAGTGACTTGCATTTCTCTCTTTTTACAGGTTTTATCATTACGCATTTTACAGTGAAAGAAAAAAAAACGTTAAGGTTTGTTTTTGTTGTAGAGAAGATGAAGTTGAGAAAGTTGATAACGAATAGTTTGATTTTCGAATGCTAAACGAGCATTCTCTTGTTGTAAAAACATGACACGATCTTGTATTTGTTGTTCTTTCGTTCGTCGGGCATCACGAGAACGTTTTGCAGACTCATTGTTACGTGTACGTTTTTCATAATAATTTGCATCTTTTTCGTTATCTGGAACAAGACGAGGGCGTCGTTTCGTAGCAATGACTGGTGTGCGGTCAAAACGATGATGTGCATTGTCATTATTATTGTCCAATATTTCCACTTGATTTAAATGAATTGCTGAGTCAGGCAACGATAAACTCAGACCAGTATTGCAATCATTCTCAGATGATATCGGTATCGAATGATTACGTCCGTAAGATAAAAATAATGGTTGCTGATCATAACACACACTGGAATGCATTGTTTAACAAACAATTGTTGATAACAACTGAAAATTAAGTTGTATATTCACGACATTTTAATACGATAGGTAGAATAATGAGAGAGAGAGAAAGAGAAAGGAGGAGAGACGCTTGTTTCTATATTACCCTGTTCCATAACTATTGGTTCAAACGAAATATTCCCATAAATTGATTGCATAATCATAGAACTAAATATGAATAAAGAGAAAGCATAAAAAATGAATTGAACGGATTCAGCTGTCGTTATTGTCGATCACACTTGTTCCGATTGGAAATAATTGATTGAGTCATCCTTTATTTAGGAAAACATAAGGCTTAGACAGTCTGATCAGATCGTTTTGTCGGTGATTTTCCCATATGAATATGTCGATAATTGCCGAGCATTCTCTCTTCCATTAGAGTTCACTTTTTCGTCGAAAATTTATTTCTCGTTGTACAAAAAAGTCTGTTTTTAAAATGTTATCAGCACTCATTATTCTATCTCGAAAGAATCTTGTAGTTGAATAAAAAATGAGAAGAAAAAACGGTTTCGGAGGAAAATCTATTCACAACTGTACAGAAAAAATAACGTTTCTCTTTTCACTGCGGAATGAATGATAAGTGTGGTATTGGCGTAATCACAGTACCAGCCGAAAATGGTGTACTTTGCGACGACGGTGAATACGGTGGATGATTACTTCTAATCCCATAACTAAAACGAAGAGTACAATATTGATAAAAGATTTTCGAAGATTTGTTACTTGAAGTGAATACGATGTATGTTGTTTTCATTCGATGGTTCTTTGCAGATTTTATTGATTTCAGCCCGTCTAATTTGTAACTGGTCGCGTGTTAATTTGATCGGCGATGGCGGTGTCAGGGTTGGTAGTGTTAAGCTGATTGTTCGGTTTGATTGAATCGATTGATCGAAATAACTGTTGTTTGTATTACTTAATATTGTATTGCGTAGACAAGTAATAATTTCTCCATCGGCTAGCATTCGACCATGTGGAGATTTATGTTCATGTGCACGTAGATATCGATAAACATTGATATTACCTTCATCAGTTTGACATTTCAGTAATATACAAATACGAGTACCATCCCTATCATACTAAACAATTGATGTGACAGATAGATTCAATGGGAAACTAAGCTTACAACAGTAGCACGTAAACGTTTGTTTAAAACAAGTTGTTTAAATGTTAAACGTATTGTATCGGAAAAAGTGGGTTTGACTGCTTCACTAAAAATACATTCCACAGCCTAAACGCAGATAAATACTGCTGAATACGAAGAAGATATCGATTACTTTAAAGGGAAATAAATAAAAGTGTTCAGGTAACCATTTCAACTGCGAAACATTGACATATAATGATGAACCATAATCAACAAGTCGTACACGAGCGCTTGGTTGTGTCGTATTCGTTGGTCCTTCACTTTTCGATACAATCAATGCTCGATGCCACGATGTTTCATAATGTAAGGCAACTAACTGACCGACATAAACGTGTTTGAGAGATTCGTAACTAACAGCAACTAAGGAAAGTATTTCAATAAATTGACGAAATTTACGTTCATTTCCCGAAGATAATTCTCGTTCAACCCAAAATTCACCGTCACTAGTTAAAATGTCTTTCACTGTGCAATAAAACTTCGCACCTAAAATTTTCGAATATGTCGTCATCGCATATTGACCTGAGGAAAAACAATACCTTTTGTAAATCGAAATGGTTCACCATCGAGAATACATAGATCAGGTAGACGTTGTTCGATTAATAATTGAAGATCTTCAGTGATATCGTTGTGACCAATTGGATTCGATTGATTTTGCTCGTAATTCCTAATATGAAAGGAATTTCTAAATATAGATCTTGTTATTCTACGTACGGTGTATACGTAGTCGGCTCAATAGATGAAGTATATGACGAGGTTGATTGAGGTAACATTGGAGAAACGATTCGTTTTGGTAATGCTTGTTGAGATAGTTCGTAGTGTTGCCATTGAAGTCGAGAACTGCTGGTAGTAATTGGAGAATCATTCGAGACGTTTAAGATTTTGCTTGTCGTAAATTTACGAGTCTTTTCATCAAATTTCGATACCGTTGAGCGATCTTCACTGATAGATAAAACATCTTTTTTCACATCGCCAGCCATTGTAGCAAGAATATCTACAAATTTGTGAAAGAAAAATGTACGACTAGTTGACAGAATTAAACAAACAAAGACACGAAATTCTTTGTGTCTCCGTAGATATATTGGTCTAAATGGAAACGTATACTGTACACATATATCTTCTTTCGATTCTGTGTTCGATACATAACAGAGTAGACGTTAACTATATTTACTGTGATGAGTCATACATTTTATCCGAACGAATATGATATCTTGAGGGTAAGACACATTTTCAAATCATAAGAATGGTACCTTAAAGAAATGTTTTAGCTTTTCTTTCGCTCTAATTCAACAAAATAATGTAGAAGACGAATATTTTCTTTCTACATCTTCAAAATGAAAAATGGTCACTGCTTGATTTTTTTGTCGGTTGCGAATACAAAGACAACATGTTTTCCATTTTCCATATTCAAACCTCAAATAAATTTACTGTATTTTTTCCCTACAATCTTCCAATAGAAAATTAATATGTGGATGAGAATGGTCCATAATACTATGAAACATAATGATTACATGTGAACTGTCATGATTTGTTTCTTACAATTTTAAGAGTATTTCGTTTTTTATCCGATCAATTTCAGGTCTTTACTATACTACTCTTTTGCTTCTCCTAATACAAGTAGGAAAAGGATTACAATCTTCCTACTAGCGATAGTAGTCATCGTCAAGTATAAAAATCTCCAATCAATCTCCAAGCAAACTAGGAGAGTTTCGTCAATTTTTATGATATTTTGACGACATGAAAAGTTTTTATCTGTTTCTTTAACTTCATTGGTTTAAATTCATAGGCACCAATTGCATACGTATCTCTCTTTCTTTCTTTTTTCTGTTTCTATACTCTTACTACGTCCACGACGATAGAGGTTCACTGCATGACAACATTTTCTCGTTAGAATTCGATCATGGCGACTCAGAAAAGAATCATAATGCCTTCCAACTTCAATACTAGCACTGCTTATCCACTTGAAACTTGTGATATTCGCCTTTATTTGAAAGAGCATCCATATTTAGCGACACTTCTTCCGAAAACAGGAGTTCTATTCGAATGTGATGGTGATGCACCGTCACCATCGAAAGATTACGGTCAATTGCAAATCAGCATAGATAAAGTAGGAACTTTATGTTGATATAGTAGACATTCGCAAGAGAATTCGTTTAGATTATTCTTCGTTGGTGGAAAATAACTCTTCGTAACATTGAAGGTGCGATTTATCCAGGTGAAATTAAAACTTCTTTTGAAGATTTCTATCACGATGAACTTGCTCAACGAGAAATAAGTCGAATCTTCGGTCAGAAAACGCTCGAGTATTGTTTAAATCTCGTCTGTGGTCGATTTGATTGGCTCTCACGTTTACCATTGGCTATTCAAATAAAAATCTTTTCGTACCTTAATCTCGACGATATTCCTCAAGTATCTTTGGTATCAAAATTATTTCGAACGATTTGTCGACACAATGATCTTTGGAAGATCTTCTATATTCATCAACATGGTCGACAAACGTTAGAAAATAAGAATTTATTACAATTAGCTGATAAACGCGGCTGGCGTCATGTGTTCTTTACAAATCGTTTGAAACTTCAAATTGAATTGCGTCGAGAAGCTCAACTAGAACGGTACCATCCCGAAGATCCGTCTGACTTAGTCAAAGCTCGCGAACGACGAAAACAGCTACAGCCAAGTCCACCTGTAACACCTCGAGAGCAAACCACTGTACGACGACATTCGACACGAAAGGAACCATTACCACTTCGAATAGGATCCGCACGAGCCGATGTCGATAGTCGAACTAGCTCACAGACAGAACATTGATCGTTTAATCAGATTTGTTTCTCTTTGTAAATCTTTTGCAATATGATATAATCGATATAAAATAGTTCGGATGGCAGAATAAGATCTTTCCGAACTCTATTCTAACTCATTTTCCGTCTGTCAAAATGTAAAGTAGCGAATAATAAATCGAGCAAGTCGGACGTCGTAGTTTTATTGCAAAAGAGAAAAAAAAATACGTCAGGCATCTCACTCCAATGAAAAAAACGAGGGAAAAATTGAGATTAAGTGTGTATACTTTACATAAAAAGCACGTGGTAACGAAAACATTGCGTTTCTTTCACACGAAAAAGCCAGCAAAATCCATCAGATGAATAAAATACGAGGTAGGTGAAACAGTAAGCGCACTCCGTGAGATTTTATTTCATTACAAAATGATTTGACAAAAGTTCGGCGATTTTTTCACCCTCGAATAAATTTTACCAAGGCGACTTCTAATGATTTCTTTTTCATATGGCCGAAACCGATTCTTTTTCAAATTTATGTACTTTAGTGTTTTGATCTCAAAGAATTCGTTTGGAAGACTGCTCAGTTGATTAGAATAAAGATTCAGCCATGAAAGGTTTTGAACATGTTCAATTGCTTTGGAAATCGAACGAATAGAATTTTCGAGGAAATGAAATCTTTTCGGCTTGTTGTTTCCAGCTCCTAATTTTTCAATACCATCCAAATGGGTTAAATTGGTAGAGATTATATGAAGATCAACTAAGTTTGATAAGTTAGCAGGTAAGCGAGGCATTGGACAAGATGTGATAATAAGAGTTGTGAGAACAGGAGAATTGTCGATCGATTGCAAGAAGTCAAGGAACAGATTGTTCTTTAAGGTAAGAGATTCGAGATTTTGGAGTCTTGCTGGTAGACGTCTCAAAGTAGTGTTAGATATAGACAAGAACTTCAATGCAGGTAGATTTATAATTGTGTTAGGCAGTGAAACCAATGGAACATCAGTGAAAGATAAAAGTTGTAAACGAGTTAATACACTGATACCTTTCGATAGGTGTTTAATATTCATATTGGATAGTTGTAAATCGATTAATGATGATGGTAGATATTCTATCTCGAAGATAAACTCGTTTGTTAAGTTGCATAAAGATGTATTGGTGATTACCAATTTCTGCAGATGTTGAAAACATGAGATGAACTTTGGAATACATGTTTGATCTGCAATGTGTAGTTCAGTAATAGTTGAGTTTTCACCTTCGATAGCGTATGTTGTAAGAGAATCTGCTGTTGATTGTTTCCAAGGGATATGAAAAAGGAATTCGTCACGTATTTTAAAATCATTTCCAAAGGCAGAACAGTTTATCAACGCGTGTGTTGATTGGATAACTATCCATAACATAAATAAGCACGATGAGAAAGTCATCGAATGCATCTGAAGAGAATATTTCTTTCATTAATAAAGAGTTGAGCTCTAAAGCTAGGTCCTTGGAAATTTCCAAGAGAAAAGAAAGGTATGCGTAGGAGTGATTCCGACAAGGTGTAGTCATGAATCATGAAATTTAACCATCAGAAAGCTTTCACAGAGGTCGAGGTTTAAGTCAAATAGTCTTTGTCTACAAGTAAACCGTTATACGAACAAAATAATATCAGTGTTAGAGCAAGAACAAATATATTCTCATAAAGATTCATCACGCATTGCGTGCGTGCAGAAGCAACATTAACGTGATCACAACATAAGATCGAAATGTCGAATAAAGCGCTAACGAAAGGGGCATGCATGGTCCCACCCTATACGAGCCTCTCAATACGTAATATAAAAGTTGATTTCATTTAATTGGAAGAAGAAAGATCAAAGTACAAGCGAGAAGCTTTTTCCTTTCTTCGTTGCCTATGGGCTGTCATATGGCACGTGATCATATATCCCATTGAATTACCTCATTTTATTATTATCAGATCAGTAACAAAGTATAATCGAAAAAGAAATTAAATATTAAATATTAAGCCCATATTCTTGTGTTTACCATATTCATCTTGATTGCGTTGATCGTTTCGTTCTCAAAATTGTTCTTCCGAATCCATAGATGTTTCAATGTCTTTACTTCATAAATATCCATTGGCAAAACATCCAGTTTGTTGTAGTCGAGATTGAGATAGCACAAATTCTTCACGCGTCGAATAAACGGAGTTAGATAACGAATCGAATTTTTGCGAAAGTCAAAGTTTTTTCGTTCGTCTGTCCCATTACCTAATGTATATATTTTGGAAACATCATGAATCTTGTTGTTTCGCATATATAGATTCACTAGTTGCGGTAAATCCATTGGAATGTCTTCTATCGAACAGTTATCCGCAACTAAGGTCATCAAGTGTGGATGTCCATTAAGAGTTTGAATTGATTGAAGCTTTTTGTTGTTGCTTATGTCGAACGTAGTTAAACAAGAAGTCTTGATGATAGTTGACGGAATCGCCGATAGACTATTGTCGAATAATTGCAAAATCTTCAGCGATGACAATTCGCCAATTGAGTCTGGTACACTGTGTAAATCTGCACTGGTTATTACAAGAGTTTCGAGACGTCGAAATTCTCTTATTGTGTCGGGTAATTCCTTGAAAGATGTATTTTTGATAACTAAATCGGTCAGTGATGATGAGAGATGTCTAACAAACATCGGCACGTGAAAATAGAAAGTTGGAAATCTTGTTCCTTCTACATGTAACGAATGTAGACGAGTGAAACAAGATATACTTAGTGGAAGATATTCTTCATTAATAATGTTCATTGATATAATGTTGCCATATCCATCTGTTTTGGCGGATGTTTTGGTCGACGAAGACGAGTTAAAATCAACTTTAAATGGGAATGTTTGATTAACTAAGTCAACATCTGAATATGAAGGGCAACTTGGTACGAGACGATGGCGACGAATGTTTCGGATCTCTAAAAGATAAAGAAGAAGATAAGAGTACATAACATGAACAAATATTGCTCAATTACTTGATGCTGACGGGTTTAAGTTTCGAATAGAAACACATTGCATTAAAATTAGGTAGCTGAACAATGTTAACAATATTAAAGGCTTCATTTTATATCTAAAATTTAATTCATTTCATCATCGTATTTATACATTCAATTTCTCCAGTAAACAATGACTAATTAATGCATTAAAAGAGTGATTCGTCGTGGCGAAAAGCAATGTGTCGCACTTCGCAAGGTGACTTCCTCATTATGATGGAATTGCTTCAAGAAAAACGATCGATAACTATCTTAATGAACTCTGGTCGTTTTTCTGATACTGAATTATATAGATATCGTCAGAGTCTGATATACCTGACACGAACAGGAAACGAAAAATTTTCTGACTTTTCGTTCGTAGGCGACCAACCAATAAATACATCGATTATTAATCGTCATCGTGATTGAGAAGAAAAAATTATGTAATTCCAGTGCAAAAAATGGAAATACTATAGATCCCATGAAATAACGTTATGTTTCATGCGTCACAATGTACACAAGTGGGGTTTTTTCCAGGTAAAAACATGGTTTTAATGTAATGTCACTTATGACTACTTTAATTACTCACCAAGTTGTACGCGTATATAGCAAATTAACACATATATGATGGGTCACATATCTCATTCGACTTTTCAAAAGAATATTCTAGTTGCGTGTTATTGAGAAAGAACAGTAGAACTAGAGTCGTATATATGATCCCCATAGAGATGTTTAAACGTGGATACTATCGAAAAAGAAACAGTCGTCCGTGTACTGAAAGGTTCCAATCTCAATGCAACTTGCGGAAAGAACGGCAAACAATGCTGTTTTATTTTAATAGAAAAGAAATGAACGAAAAAGCATTACCCTATTCGAAACTGAATCTCACTCGAGATAGCTCATAATGAGGTGCAAATTTTCTGCTGGAAGTATTCAACGCCTACTATCGTACTTGAACTCATTTGTAATATACATGAAACAACATTCAACATGGATTCCGTTAAATTAGAAAAATGTCAAAACATATAGGTGATTAGACTTTATCTAAACATCGATATTGCCATTGTCATTTATTCTCTAAATGCTAGTAGCTATTTGCGTCATCTAATGACAAAGCGTGCCTTTGCATACGCTTTGACATACAGTGCCTCCTTATGACTGATGATTCTTGTTAGATCCGTTTTAAGAACGTGAACAAGGTTTATTGTTAACAACGAACAACGAGTAAAAGTCTGTAAATAAGACGCATACACAAACTAATATGATCAGCACATATTTTCAATGTCATTATATTGAAAAATACCTCTACTATTACATATATATATATACATGACTCATAGGAAAAAGCCAATGACACACACATTGAGATCAACAGAACGAACAGAACATGTGTATATGTCACAAGTCAATCTAAAATTTGAACAAGTTCAAATTGAGATCTCATTTTGAGCTAGTCCAAACTAGAATTGACTCGAGATCTGAGATGAAAACTCAGTTTTGATCCTGAAGTTATTTTCAATCCTGACGAAATCTGCATTCATAGATAAAGATACTTATGACTTTTAAACAGATACCTTCACTCAGCACGCAACGGGTCAGGTAATAAATATATCCAATTGATTGTCGCTTTTGAATACGCAGACTAAAATCTGAAATAAAAATTAAGGCGAAAGTCATGTTTTGATCGCAGGTATTCACATAATCCTACTTTGAATCAAGCGAAACTGAAATAGTAGAATTACCTACGACATATATGTGTGTGAGAGGAACGAAAGAAAACGTTGAAATATTTCAATATTTTACTCATCTATCTGAAGAAGAAAAAACCGCAAAAACATTTTTTCTAATCACCATGACAAAACTATTTACAACATGAATTTAGCCACTTTGTACGAAATTTCAATTTGAAAAAGTGTCAATTCATCAAATGTTTTTTTCTTTTTCAATCTCGCATTTTATACATAGAATAGATTGTTTCTTGTACATGTTCTTCTCAACCGTCAGAATGAATCATTGTGAGTCAACTACTCAATGACACCAGCCATATGTTCAAAAACATTTTGAGGATTGCACGTGTCCATTTGGATACAATTGTTTATTATCGCGCAAATCCTGACTTGTAATACATTCTGAACACTTTTTTTAAAATTTTTTAAGAATTATTTCATTATGACGCGGAAAATATCAACGTATGATTTCTTTCTCTGTTTTAGGAAGCGTGCCAAATAAAAAATTTTCATCTCAATGGTTAACTGGATTTGTTTATTTCAATTTGTTAATATCGTACTACATAGTCAGTAGTGATGTGTTTCTTTTGCGAGTGATAATAATGGGCGATCGAACGTCTTTATTTAAATAGCATAATGTTCGTATTTGACAATTTATTACATGGTCAGTTATCGTTATAGTTTAATACTTGTATGAAAAAAAAAAGCATGAAACGAAAGCTTTTGAATCATGTATCGATAGAAGTGGTAATCAATATATATTCCTAACAAGTGAATTGTCCAACTGCTTACTATCAACAAGAAAATAGTTATACGAAAAATAATTTTATGCAAGTTTTTAAAAATGCAATTATATCAGTCAAGCCCATATTGTTGTGTTTACCATATTCATCTTCATTTCGTTTATCGTTTCGTTCTCAAAATTGTTCTTCCGAATCCATAGATGTTTCAATGTCTTTACTTCATAAATATCCATTGGCAGAACATCCAGTTTGTTGTAGTCGAGATTGAGATAGCACAAATTCTTCACGCGTCGAATAAACGGGGTTAGATAACGAATCGAATTTTTGCGAAAGTCAAAGTTTTTTCGTTCGTCTGTCCCATTACCTAATGTATATATTTTGGAAACATCATGAATCTTGTTGTTTCGCATATATAGATTCACTAGTTGCGGTAAATCCATTGGAATGTCTTCTATCGAACAGTTATCCGCGAATAAGGTCATCAAGTTTGGATGTCCATTAAGAGTTTGAATTGATTGAAGCTTTTTGTTGTTGTTTATGTCGAATGTAGTTAAACAAGAAGTCTTGATGATAGTTGACGGAATCGCCGATAGACTATTGTCGGATAATTGCAAGGTCTTCAGCGATGACAATTCGCCAATTGAGTCTGGTACACTGTGTAAATCTGCACTGGTCATTACAAGAGTTTCGAGATGTCGAAATTTTCCTATTGTGTCGAGTAATTCCTTAAAAGATGTATTTTTGATAACTAAATCGGTCAGTGATGATGAGAGATGTCTAACAAACATCGGCACGTGAAAATAGAAAGTTGGAAATCTTGTTCCTTCTACATGTAACGAATGTAGACGAGTGAAACAAGATATACTTAGTGGAAGATATTCTTCATTAATAATGTTCATTGATATAATGTTGCCATATCCATCTGTTTTGGCGGATGTTTTGGTCGACGAAGACGAGTTAAAATCAACTTTAAATGGGAATGTTCGATGAACTAAGTCAACATCTGAATATGAAAGGCAACTTGGTAGGAGACGGTCACGAAGAAAGTTTCGGATCTCTAAAAGATAAAGAAGAAGATAAGAGCACATAATATCAACAAATATTGCTCAATTACCTGATGTTGATACGTAAAAATCTTTAACAGGAAAGCATTGAGCTTGGATGAGGCAGTTAAATAACAAAAATAATCCTAAGAGCATCTTCATGTATCTAAAATATATTTTATTTGAAGTTGTCTTATATACTAATGCTTGCATTTTTCCCAGTACGATGACTAATTTTTGAAAGAAGAGTGAGAAAGTGGTTCGTCAAGGTGAAAAGTAGTGTGTCGCATTCGACAAGATGATTTCATCATTATGACGGAATTGCTTGAGAGAAAAAGGGAATTATTGTAACTCTTCTAATGAGTTGTTACTATTTTTTCGATACTGATTTATTTCACTCTAAGCAAATCAATATTCCGAGAATGTAATAGACTTGACACTTAGAGAACGAAAACATTTTCTTGTTATTCGAGTGCACTCGATCGATGTGTCAACTATTGACAAATAATGATGTAATATGAATAAAAAACAACAAGATATCATTGAAAATATTACCTATTTCTCAGAATAACGTTATGTTTTATATGTCACAATGTACATAATTAGTTATTTCTCCAACCAAAAATGCACTCTCGTGGAGTCACTTATGACAAACTAAGTCGTTTACCAACTTGTAGTAACTTTTTTTATATCAAATTAGTATCTGTGTGTCATAGACAACGAACCTCATTGGACTTTTAAAAAAGAATATTCTAGGCGTGTGAATAATTGAGAAAGAAAAGTTAATCTACTGATATAGGTGGGATTGGTAAGCAAATATCTCAATTTGAATAATAACGAAAAAAGAACATTCGCTGAAATGTGCTATGACCGTCGTTGACACACTGAAAGGTTTCAATTACAACAAAACGAGCAAAAATAACAGCACACGATGTTCTTTTTATAAGAGTGTGAGGAATGAATCTCATGCGAGACATAATTGATGGTTTAACACCAAATGCCGTTTCGGAGCATGAAATGAAAATCAATACAGTTTGATTGATTCGTAATATTCATCAAACGGTGCCCAATGTGTATTCTGATAGATTGAAGATATCAAAATAAATCATGACCAAATCATATATCGTCACGCATATGCTCACTTTGATTTATTCTCTAGATAATACTAATTCTTTTGCGTCATTTAATGACTAAGCGTATGTTTTGCATGCAATTTGACATCAAATATAATTTCATGATTCATGATCGTGCATGCACTTTGGGAAAAAAGCTCTTATTAATGGTCCGTTCGAGAATTTTGTTCTGAAGATTAGCGATGATAATTTGTGAATATGTATAATACTACACTAAGGAATATTGATTTTCAAAATCAAACAGATGTTGATTGGAATCGATTCATTCGATTGAACATTGAAATCTACTGAGAAAATGTGAGTCAACTCGTTGGAGTGATTAAAACTCAATCTCTATACATATTTCTCATTTATACGGTTTCCACTCAGTGACGCACTGTGTAATACATCTATTCCTATTCGGTCATACAGTCAATCCTACAAGTTGATTTCGACATCTGAGTTCGTATTTAATCAGACTACATTATATATGATCGACAATAACTGTATTTTAGTATATGTGTGACGTAAATTTACTTCAAAATATACAGCGAAAATAAAATCGTCAACTAATCGCAACTGATTTGTTGTGGGCATCGAGCGTGCCGATCTTGTGTTGTCGATTCGGAGCAAATGGTGGCGAATCCTCTCTGGATATATCGACGGGTTCATAGATACATTTGCCTAATTTTTTACTATTGCTTAATTGGGTGGGATTCGTTGACGTTTGTAGATTAATGTCAATGCTGGATTTGTATCGTTAAAACGATAAACGATTCTTTTTAACTGACTTGAGTTGAAGTAGTTGTACTCCATGGAGAAGAAGTGAAGATTTGGCGTCTGAAAGATATCACTGGGTAGTGTCTTCAATCGATTGTTATTTAAATCGAGAGAGTAGAGATTGTCGACGAAGCGAATTTGTGGATGAATGAAATCGATTTGATTATTGTTGAAATAGAAGTAAATTTTTGTGTTGCTTTGATAACCCAATGTGCGAATGTTGACAAGATTCGTTAGTTTATTATTTGCCATGTATAGATCAGTTAATTTAGGTAAATTCACCGGTAGTTTGTCAATGGAGCAGTTCTCGGCGATGATCACTTGAAGAGAAGGATGATCATTGAATGAATCGAGAGAAGTCAGAGTTGGATTATGACTTATATCAACTTGTCGTAAGGAGAGGGCATTAACGATTGTTTTCGGCAATGCTGTTAACATATTCCATGATAAGTTCATGTAATTCAATGCCGGTAGATAACCGATTGATTCAGGAAGCGTCCGAAGGCCCGTGCGAACTAGCTCCAGTGATTGGAGATGTGGCAACTGACCAATTTCTTCAGCTACATGCGTGATAGGCGTATCGAATACTCCAAAACTGACCAATGTCGGTGCCAAGAATTTGATTTCAGCTGGAATTCGCCCATCGGGAAAGCTGGTTTTGTGTATATATAACTCTTCTATGTGTTTAAAACAGAAAATGATCGGAGAGACCATTTGCTCGTTGGCAATGTTCAGATAATATAGCTTGTCACCGTCCCAAAGACTGTATGTACTTTGTGCGGATTTACCCAGCGAAGGATTCGGATCAGCTCGGAATGATAGACTTAAGAAAACGTCATTATCACTTTTAAATTTTGAGCAGTCCAGTTTAGTATTAGGTCGCGAGGAATCTGCAACAAGAAAAAAGCGAATGTACGATTTTTTTTTGTAAGAATTTGTCAAGATCTTACATGGTCGAAGCGCATGAGTATTTGCAAGGACAAAACTGAAAAATAATAAATACGTAACCTCGAAAAAATACATTTGTGAAAATAGCACCGTTGCTTTGCGTGATTGTTAAATTCTACTGTCCTAATATTTGCATGACAAGTTAGAGATTTATATAAAATGTATGTCTATCCATCCGTTACATCCTCTGTGCATTATAGATGTGAGTAAGAGTGCGTCATCGGCGGACTTATATGATGAAATACACTCGATTAGCAGCATGCAAAATGTACACTTATACCAATTAGTGTATCTGAAAAGGAATTACGCTTCATTGCGTGCAAGTTTGATTCGTTGAACTAAAGTTGGCTCTTTCGCTATATTGATTGGTATTTATCAACTTATCGCATTCAATTACGTCAATAGATCATGATTCAATAAAAATATGGGAAGTAGATCGTATCTGACGCAAATGCAATATGAATAATGCTCGATTCGTACGTACATTTTCATCGATAATTGTGTCGAGAACCTTCTATACTGTTCGATAGATGGTACACCATACAATTATGGGAGGTAAAACAAAAAAATAAATATAAGAAGAGATTAACTTGAATTCAAGGTAAATAAACATTCTCTTCCATGGTTGTTTAGTTATTTTTGACGAACCATACGCGTCACTTCCCACTTTACATATCGTTCTTTTAATTAGCGATCGATCGTGAGATATACATACTAAAATGAAGACGGAATTGGCTTTTTTATCAATCGCTTACTCCCTCGTTTGGTGTACAGGTGATATACTACCTTGGAGTATTCAGTCAAACCGATATCATCTGATCCTTATCGTATATCTTCGTACAGTAAAAGTGCATAAAATGTTTCCAAGATAAACAAAAATGATCAATTTCTTTGCCCCATTGAATACAGATAATAGTTGCGGGATTTTTGTGTTGGTATTCATCGGACAATGTAACCTCTTTGGTTATTCCTACAATTTTACTGGATCTTTGATTGCTGTAAATGTTTTGTTTTGTATACTTATCCATAATGAATTCACTCTTAGGAATTTGACTGAGGATATGAGTTTGTTTCATCAACTCACAGACTATTACTTACGAGAAGGTGTCAAAAACTTGATCACAAGCGTCAAATCAACAAGGCTATCTCAGTTCATAGTTTAACCCTTAACGACCGAGGAGGTTTTTTTTCGATCGCGCGAAGAGATTGATCATAATAATAGAGAACATAGACCCTTGGTATGCTCAGACTGCAATTTAAAAAAATTCGTCTATTGTTCTTCTTGAGATATGAAATGTCCCTTGGAAGGGACATTCGGCCTTTACAACAAGAATTCGTTAGTTTTTTTTTTAAATAAAACAAACACCTATTTTATGAATGTTTCTATTTATTTTACTCTTATCACAAAATATTCATCAATATACGTATGTATCAAGCATTTTTCAATAATGAAAAGAAAAAACATTTTATGTGACGAAATAATCACCAGCTGAATATAATATCTAAAGCACATCATCATCGGAACTATCGCTTTCTCCATGTGTTGACATTGTTGAAACTGTATGAACTGCAAAACTAAAACTTCACGCCATATTTAGACACAGTATTCATTTTGGATTTTTCCTTCTTTAATACTTACGAACGTATCTGTACATTAATGGTAGATTTCATATCTTTATGGCCGAATGTCCCTTTCAAGGGACATCTCTTTTCAGACACTATATCATGACAGCAGTTCATACTGAAACTTTGACGCTGGTTTGGTGAAGTGTTTGAAGTTACTACTGATTCATATCAGTCAAAAAAGACCCAAATTCATGTTATATTCACGAATCTATCGCATTTTTTTGTAAAAAAAAAACTAATTATTTCGTTCAAAAAGTAGTCAAGAAGGTATTTTTAGATTACTAGTAGGCTATCGGACCATCTTAACTCGAAAAATTACTCGTCGTTATATTTCAAAGTTCTAACATATTTTAATAATCTGTCCAACTATATCTTCTGGAAGAGACAACAGGCCGTAAAAGGTCAATGAACAGAAAACGTATCTCTGGAAATCAGAAACATGACACTCCTCCGAAAACCTTGTAGCTGCCGTGTTTACTATTTGACATTGAAACATCTATCGATCATTACTTCTCTAAACATGCCCGACACGATTTCAAGAACGTTTGAAGCACTGTGTGTACTCTTTCCGATCATTTAATCAATCGATTTCCATCAAAGATACTATTGTACATATAATTTACGAGCTTTTCAATGCAGTTTTTTTTCTTCGCTCTACTGAATCTTATCATTCGTTTCATCTTGATAGGAAATAGGATATAGAACAGGTCATGTTGAATCACTAAAATGTTTTTTAATCAAAAACAAAAATGAAGGAATAGGTACTGGTCTTTTTAAATCGATATTCTCTGTCTAAAATAACGAACAATAAAACAACAAGATGAATAACAGAAAAGTACGTATGATAGTCAAAGCTTTAGTTAAATGAATTGTTTAACCAAGAATTTTCGATCGTTCACGATAAGCAGCCCACCACACAAGTCCAAAAGTACAAACAGCAAAGAATTCACTGGGTAACCATGGACCATAACTTACACCCTAGAAAGACGATCATCAAGATTGGACATAAACAAACACAAGAAAGTCTTACGGGATGATTTAATTCAACTTGACCGAATGGTTTGACAGCTTTGGTTGCATCTTCTGTACGAGCCTAGAATATCAGATTCAATTCATCTCGCGCTCATCCTTATCGATATTCTTACTTTACGGAGAGCCGAGTACGAATCATCATCATACAATTTTATTTTTGTACGTCCTGATGCTAGTTCTTTATGTGTGTTGGCTGCGACACCAATCTTTAAAATGAAACCCCCTTGGTATTTACACTGATAATTAGATAGAATTGCTTACGAAGTATTTTCCAGGAGCTGTTGGCGTTTGTGCACATGGAATGACTTGACCATTGATATCTGCGTAGAGTGTTCCTGGCTGAAAATGGAAAATTTATGTAGAAAAAAAGTAACAAAGTCAGTTTATCGATCGAACATACTTGTTTTCCGTTCTTACACTTAACAGTGATTTCCAGTTGAGCTGCTGATTCAGCTGTTAAACGTGCATCTCTTGTGGAGTGTGAAACTACTTTGAATTCTGGTGATTCGCAGGTTTCACCTGAATTTATGAAAGAAAACGATTACATTTTCCAAAATATAAATGGAATGAACTGATTCTACCGTTAACTAAAGCAATTATGGTGAGAGCAGCTAACACTACACGAAACATTTTGTATAAGTGACGATCCGATCCACCGATCAACGACACAACGGCTGACGTGTAAATGTATATCGATAGTAGTTTTGCATTCAATGATTGGTCGACATGAATGTGAACAATAGATGGCGAAATAACTTGCTTCAAATGTGAAATTTTGATTTTTTTCAACATTAAAATAGAAATTTAAATTAAAGAAGTTTTTTTAATTTATTTTTTTCTGATTGGTGATTGTCGACCAATCGATAAACCCCACAGACTTAAATTAGAAAAGTGAATGAATTCACATTTTTTTTTTGTTCCTTCAACAAACGAATACGATGAATATTATCGTTCAATGTTCACTTTTAATCGTTTTATTTGACTCGGTATTAACTCAACAAGATGCTGTTACGTGTAGTTCAACATTTAAATTAGTAAACCAACAATCGGGTGATAGACTGCATTCGCACGAAGTTAAATACGGTTCTGGTAGTGGCCAACAGGTAGATTCAGTTATATTTCTTTGCTCTTCAAACTCGTCTTCGCTCTAGTCTGTGACAGGCTCACCGAATGCAGATGATGTGAACAGTTATTGGCAAGTTCAGGGTGAAAACTGTGAGCGAGGGTATGTCAATAGAAAAGGAGTTCAAACTATATAATTAGTTCCATGTCCAATAGAGTACCGATAAAGTGCGACAGTATTGTGCGGTTGATTCACATCGCGACAAGAAGATATTTACATAGTCATGATTTTACTTCCCCGTTATCACATAACCAAGAAGTATCGGCGTTCGGTGAGAACGGAGTTAGTGATGAAGGCGATCGGTGGAAGGTCGTGTGCACAAGTCGAAATGATTACTGGTTAAGAAAAGATGGAATTCGATTGCAACATGTTACTACTGGAAAGTAAGACTTTATATATCGAAAGAACATTGTCGGTTCGAGGTCAATTGGTTGACTCACTTCGAAATATTGCATTATAAAGTGCTTTTTTTGCATAAAATGCCATTTTCTCGTTTAGGTACCTCCATTTAACTGGTGATACTTACGGTCGACCAATTCAGGGTCAAAAAGAGATTTCTTGCTATTCTTATGCTAACAGTCAGAATGTTTGGAAAGTCGATGCCGGTGTTTATATTCGTACGTCTTCAGAATCGGTCTCACCCACTCGTGATGATCAATCCAATTCACATTTTCAATCGACATCTGCTGATCATTTCGATGATGAACTTTAAATACACATCTTTTTTAAATTAATTGTTTTTCTTTTCACATCTAGGTTAAATTGCTCCGTTCTTTTTCTTCTTGCTTAATTAGCAGAAAGAAGAAGGACAACAATGAAATATTCTCTTTTCTTCTCTTTCCTCGATTGTGTATGTCCGATGACATTCTTGCCTTCACATTCATTGTTTATTTAAGATTTAATCTAAGTATTACTTCGTCTTTCCTCTTTTCTCTCATGTTAAATCTATAGACATATCATAAAGTCATTCTAGATTTGTTTGTATGTGATCGTATATTCAAAGAACAAATCATTTCTCCAATGCCATCGTTGTTCGGTAAAAGTCATCTTTATCGTTACGATATTCAAGGTGGTGCCAAAAGTCATTATCTTGTTTTTGTACATTTACCCTGTCTATCAACACATTTGAAGCACCTCTATCAGCCATCATTAATCCCATTCAATGAATATGAACAAGAAACAATCGAATGCTTAATGAATCACAATAGTCTAACAAATGATTGTATAAATTATCTATTTCAACGACTACATATACGTGATGAGAAACTTTCCACTTGTTTTGCGTTGTCTTATTTTAATAAGATCAATAATCAATCTTATTGGCTCGATCCAAGTCTACCGATGAAACAACAATTGCCCAAATCGGAAACCAAACCAAATTTATCATTTTCGATTCTACTCTATCCACCGGTGCCTTATGGAATTACAGATGAAAAAGCTCAGTAAGAACGTGATCATTGTTGTGAACGATTTCATTGTGAAATTTGAATTTAAGGCGAATTCTATATCAACAACTTTTTTGTAATTTTATTTCGTCGATGTATACAATTCCAACCAATCTCATTGAAACACTAGCCGCTTATTTTCTTCGAGGTAGAACTTATCATTGTGAACAAAACAAAGTATTACTGAATTTGTATTCAAGGTTGTTTTGACAATAAGTTTGATGCAGATAAAAATCGAGATATTCTTCGATTGATTATCACTGCAGTAAGACAGACACACATGTTTATTAATGGTTTTTATAAGTGGATTTTGTAGGTTGGTCTTTCTGAAGAAAATACGGATGGAATGAAGGAAAAAATTGTGAAATTGTATCGAGATTTGCATGGAATTGACAAACGATCAGCACAAAATCTATTTGTACATCAAATATCACAATCACCGACTTATGGAATGACGCATCTTGAAGTTAAAGTATGCATACATCGCGCGATCTTTCTTCTATTTTCTATGCTCGCCTTTCCAATAGAATACTTTGAATGAAGCGATCCATCTCGGGCTCAATCACAATGGTATTCATTCTCGCTCATTACTACGTAATGAATTCAAACTGGAAGTTTGGTAAGTTAACATTCGAATGTCGTCTTTTTGTGTATCAGTTGCTCTTTGTGTTAGTTGGCAAAATATTCTATCAATTTCGTCGAATAAGCAACGTCAGATAACGGTGACGGCAAGGAATGGTAGTACGAACGTTCAGACACTCATCTATTACACAGATTCAACCAACTACAATCGTTATTGTCTACGTTTACTTCATCTATTTTCAAATTATTTCTCGAAATATTCACACAGCCAATCCGAGTAAAACGCGAACATATTAATGAAGGTTTTTCGTAGAATTCTGATTTTGTTTAGGAACATTCCCAAATTACCAACGCCAATGATCAAGAAACCAAAAATGGCTCATGGAATCAGTGTTCCAGATCTTCGTTCGGATGGTGAATCGTTAAGTAATGATCGTACATCGCCATCCGCGTGCTCGTCAACACGTTCATCGAACAACAGTTCGAGTATTTGGACAGGTAGTTTACCAAATTTAACTGTACAATTATCTACGCACCAACAAGCGAATGAGAAAGCAAAGAATAAAACAGATCCATATGCAACATTCGCAGAAAATTTGAATCATATCGAAGAACAAGAAACCATCTCACCTATTCCAATCAAGGTAAATATTACTGAGTTTCTATTTCTAACCTTTCAAACTCATATTGAGAAAAAAAATATCGAATTAATAAGGAAGAACTTGTGCGAGATTCTATGTAGTGAATAATCTGCATTAAACTATTACTATTGTCTTGTTCAAATATTGACATAATGTATTATGACGCAAGCGAAAGATACAACTCAATCATAAGTTCATTTACTTGTTGTAGAAAGCATCATCGTCGCCTCGACACTCGCTGCCAGTTTCATATCAATCACAATCACCGATGCTCAAAAAGGTAGAGTGTCTCTTCGTTTTTCAAGCTTAATGCTTTCACCTTCTCCTTCGTCTTGGTTTCTTAATCCTAATCTCTCCTCTTTTTGGTTAGTTATCTCATCGTTCTTTGCTTACATCTACTACCAGTCTTGGTCTATCATGTTCTCTTGCTACATATAATAAATCCTCTATATCACCATCGATTATAAATGTCTCTAAAATATCTTCGTCAATTAATCTTTCACCATGTTTCTCGTGTGAATGTCTTCATCGTAGTGGTGATCAAGTAAGTCGCCTACCTGTGCTGCATGAAAAAAATATACGCATGCAACGTTTGATTCATTCTTTTCTTCCTTCAATTCGTTTGTTCTTCACATATATATATATATATTCGAAACCATGTCATTGATATGACATTTATGTTATGATTTACCTTGTTATATGACGCTTTCGTTGAGGTCTTTTGCTATCTGCATGTAAATGAGTGGAACTATTGTTGAAGCATGTGCATGAGATCTAGTTGAATTCAGTATAATTCTCATCTACGTTCTCTCCTTAGGATTCACTTCGGCATTCACCATCAACTGTATCAGCAATATCCACTACAAGTCGAACATTTATAGTAAGTAGAAGTTCAACCAATGATCTAATGAAGATATTTGATTGCTTTTCTCTTCATAGAATTCTCGAACGTTTCTTTCCTCCACATCGGTACCACTTGAAACTGATACTGTTAGTGTTCATGATGATGCACCAACAGATATTTGGGTAAGACTTTCATGTGTAAACTCGAATCAGTGAGATGTATGAATATTATTATAGAAAAGAATTCATTTCTTGTACAGGTGAGACTCTTTCCTTGTAACCAACTGCTTTATTAAACAAATGCTTTCCATTACGTTTTGGACTGATCAATGCATCCCTATGCTTGATTTGACTTACATAAACAGGAATGTTCTCGTAATATCTTTAGATGAAGAAATGATAGTCTTGCGATGATATTGACCCCATTTTGCTCACTAAAACTCTTTCGAATCACTATACAGTGTCATAGATTTCCGACACTTGATAGATTTTATACCAAAATCTCCATCGATATGTTCACATTCGAGAAATTTTGGTTGATCACACATTGAATGGATCTTTCTATATAAAACTTTTTAGTTATCTGATTTCGAATCCAAACTATTGAGCAATACCGTCTACGATGAATTCGATTCTATTCCACTGGCGCGTATCAATAGTTCTATTCAAGATGGTCGGCTAGGTGAAAACACTCGTCGAAATCGTTATGCTGATGTCATTCCATATGATGATACTCGTGTACGATTAATTCCAACAAAAGAAAATCTCCACGGTTATATCAATGCTTCACATGTGAAGATTCGTGTCGAAAATACAATTTACTCGTATATCGCTGCTGAATCTCCTCTGCCATTGACAGTCTACGACTTTTGGCGTATGATATCTGGTAGTAATGTCCATGTTATTGTGATGTTAATTGGCAATGATCTTCAACTATGTGCAAATTATTTTCCTAAAAGCAAAAATGAAAAGTGTCGAACGGATGAGTTCGAAATTGAATTAATTTCAGAACAAAATCGTCAAGATTTTCATATTCGACATCTACGAATGAAACTTCTCAACGGACAACGTACACGAACCATTGTGCATCTACAATACACTGCATGGGATGAAGCACAAATACCACTTGATACTTCTTCATTCATAAGTAAAAAAACAAGATCGTCAGACAAGAGAGAAAATGTTAACATAACGTTTGTTTAGATTTTGTCAATGTTGCAAATAGTTTTCAAAGACATTATGGTGAAACAAATCCATGTTTAGTTCATTGTACTGCCGGGTAAGACAAATCATATTTGAAACATCTGACAAACTGATCGAAATCGATCATTTTCATCTTTGTAGTATCGGTCGTACTGGAATATTTATTCTTATGCACGTTATGATTCAATGTATAACTTTTAACAAAGTATGTTATTCTATGCACATGATCTTTCTCTGAATATTCACTTGATGTTTAGAAAGTGAGCGTTGCAAGTGTTTTAAAAGTCATGCGTGAACATCGTATGTCGCTCGTCGATCGAACATATTCTTATGTGTTTGTCTATCGTTGTCTGATCGATTATTTGAAATCGTCACGACTCATCTAAGCAAACATGCCTCTATCTATTCTCAATCATTTAAGCATTCCATATTTGTAATTAATCTAAAAACTTATTCTTCTTTCAATGTTGAAAAATCAAAAAATCTTGTGTTTGTACTTACTTTTTTTTCTCTTTCTCTTCATTTGTGCTTGATCAATGCGTTCAATTGTGCTCTTCTTCTTTTTTTTTATTGTGTACTCATTCAATAAAACAAAAGCAATAATGAATAATCCAAATGAAAGAATATCTATGTCAGCATTTCTTTCTTCAGATAAGATTATGGTTGGATTACCCAACGAATCATCAACATTCTGTTTTGATCGAGATGAACTATCCAAGGTAGACATGTTTAGACGATGTAAGACTGGTTAAATCTTCTGTTTTTTTTTTGTTCTTAGGCCGACTTTAATGTGGATGCGTTTGTTGTCAAATATAAACGAGAAGTTGGATTAGAAAAGTTACGTGATGATTTGGATCTCTTCCTTCGCGTTCTCCAATCGAATATGGTCGATTTGATCAATCGAGACTTTGCCGATTTTTTGAATCTATCAACCAATTTGGTATGAAGTGTTTCAGAGAAGAATGTGATTGAAACGATTGAGTTTTTTCTAGGTTGGCTTCGACAAATCGATCACGACATTGAAAAACCCTTTGACAGCTATGAAAGTAGATATCTTGGTAAGCGAAATCTGAAAGTACTCAATGGGAAATAAGTTTGATTTTTCATTGTAGAAAATTAATGAAATTTTGAGTGCACAGCGAAAGCAAGTCGAAGAGAAAGTACGAGAACAGGAAGCGATTCGTAAACGCAGACAAGTCGTTCAATCAATCATCGATGTGCAGAAGTCTGTACAGCAATTGAATGAACTCGATGATGCAATAAATCTATCAAAGTAAACATCTTCTAATTTCCATTCAGTGAAGAAAGAATGTTTTCATTTAGAATCGAGATCAGTGAAATGATCGAACGTGCTGTTGTACAATTTAGTTTTATTTCGATTCAATTAGAGAAATGTGGAGAAAATGAACCGGTCGTCGAATCATTGAAAACAGTACGAACGCTTTCGTCTTTCAAACGTTTTCGAAATCTTCATTTAGACGATCGAAAATCTTCGTCGAGTATTTGAAAAACGTCTAACAACTGCATTTATCGATGCATACTGTCAACCCAATATGTCGTTATTAGCAGATTCATTGAAAGGTCTAGCATCCATATCACTCCAGACAGTTGCCGAACAAACATTTGCCAATGAAATCGTCCGGCCTTATATGGACAAGGTACATCGTCTTTTCCATTCAAATTTTTTTCCAGTAAATCTTTTAGAATATTCGAAATCTGCTACTACAACAAACTGATGATATCTCATCTGCATTTACTCGTACGTTAGATTTCATTCGTACGGAATGTAAAGCGATGTTGTATGTCGTGGAACGTATCAATCGTGAATGCGGTAGTCATTTTGATTTCGTGGTTAATTCGATCATTCCTCAATTGACTCGATGTCTGGAGGAATCCTGTCAGAATCTTTTCTCCGCTGCTGATCCCGATGTGTTTCACAAACGATATTCGTCCTGGTTATATTTCATTTCGGATTTGGAACTATCGAAAACGAGTAAACAAAATCTAAAAACTTCACAAGTTTACCAAGATTTTTCGTCACGATGGGATATCATCGTTTATTATCAAATCAGATTTTTAGAAATTTCCAATGCAATCGAAAATGTCCTTCTTAACCAACCATTTAGGCTTCATGAAGATAGCAGTGCTCTATACAAAACATTAATTACATCAACGATCTTTCAATCGATGGAACGATGTTGGCAAACAACTTATTTTCTCGAGCCATTGGCCCATCAATTCTGGAAATTAACATTACAATGTCTCGTTCGGTTTCGTGTTTGGATCGAAGCATTCGATGTAAGTTCTACTCGAGAATATTGGCAATGTGAATACTCTATCTTCATTAGGTCAAAACATTGGACATGAAATTTTTATTGAATCTCTACATTGATTTGAAAGTTTTCTCTCAAGAAACGCAAACATTCTTTCATAGAACTATTCTCAGTGAACGCTTAACATCCATAACTTCATTATCACCGAATATTACCACAGAATTAACTAACAGTATGATCTGAAAGATAAAATTTCAATCCAATGAACATCGTCCTTCCATTTAGTTTTCAATGAAACACTTTCGGTTTTAACGAACAAGTGCCGTTTTAATTTGAAGAATCTAGTCGTTCAACAGCTAATTCAACGATGTAATGACACACTTCAATCAGTTCAAGATATACCTCGAATGTATAGAAAAACAAATAGAGAAGTAAGTCATAGGTCGTTCTATTCTAAGTCGATTCAGATCGTTCCAATCTTATGAGGTCATTTGACTTTGACATTTGTTCTACAAAATTCTATTTAAGGCATTTACTATGTGCTCTATTGATATAATATTTTCTTATTGAAAATATCGAATGGGATTATTGGTAAACATGCTCATTTATCTTTTCTTTAGGCTCCAACAAAACCATCGAATTGTATTGCAACAACATTCCGGCATTTACAAGTGTTTGCCAATGACTACAGTGGTACCCTGTTGACACCAGAAGAATGTCAGGAATTTCTGACTACAGTATTAGAAGAAATTACCAAACAGTAAAATTCATTTTTTCTCATCAAAGAAAGTCTTCTACTAATGTCTCGTTTTAGTTACTACGATCTTTGTTCGGAGATTTTATCCTCTGTGAAAAAAATGGAAGAAAATATCCAGCGCCTACGTCGTGTTCGAGAATCTTCCAAAGCCCTTTCCACGATGTCTCAAAGTATGACAGCATCTTCATCAGCCGCATTGACAGATGACAATAAGATTCGCATGCAAATTCAAAATGATGTCAGCGCGTTCAGTAGTGAACTCGACAAATTCCACATTGAGATCGAATCATCGAAGAAACTTACTATTCTTAATGAAGAAAGTCGTTTACAAATTTGAATTTTAATAAACATTTACTTTTCTTTGCAATTTTATTTGAAACAAAAAGAAAACAATAAATGAATATCTCACAATTGTTCATGAGTTCAAAACAAAAAAAAAAACAAACTTAGAATTCATATTAGAATGTTCTATCACGTCGACGAGAATAAGTCATCTCCTTTGACCTTCTCGCCTATGTCCAAATAGATGAGAGGCCACTCCTATTCGCTATGCTACTATTCCTAACGCATCAAATCAAATGAGAATATCTTTATATATACAATTACTGATTTGTTCATTTACCGAGAAGGCCAACATCGCCTAAATATTCTTCTGTATAATCACCATTACCGTGACCTAATAAAGAAGATAATTTAACCGATGTTATCACGTGAAACATGCCTATTGGCAGTTGACAAGCAATGAAAACATCCATAACACGTGATGTATATTTAGCTCAAAATTCTCGTCGAGTGTTTCTCGGAAAGAAAATCATTCATCAAACGTCTCTTTCCTGTTTCCGTAATTACAATGCCGAACTGAAATATCAGTTAATGTTTGTTTTCCGAGAAAGATGACTTTCCTTAAATAATCGAACCGTTAATAATTTACCGAAAAGGTACATGCAATTAGTTTTTCTTCCTAATTACGAAGTTATTTTAAAAGTTATGTTTTTCTCTCTCAAATCAAATCAAAATAGATTGATTCTTATTTTGCTGAGTGAAGATCGTATTTGTTGATGGAAAACGTTGAATTGATGAGTTTTTTTTTTCTTCTGTCTCATCGTCCTAGACTTTACTTTCTAGATAATGAACCATTGAATGTGATAGTAATTGAATTCTTTTCAGCATTGTTTTTTGTTGTTTCACTTGGAAACAACCGGTAAATGTTTGATACACTCAAAAATATTTTGTTTTATATTCACTCTCAAGTTACCATAGAAAGTCACATGTCACGTTATCACCCTAGAAGGGTCCGTTGACTATACAACTACGTTTTCGGATGACTGTAATATCTAATCATCCGCTTGTTTGATGGTGTTTAAATATAGAATACAATCATACACAGCGAAAAACGTTTACCGATCAAGGATATTGATTAGAACGACAATCCTTTTCATCGACCTGTCCGAATATAATCATTCGTATACGTCATAAATGATATTTTAGGTAATACATCATCCTATTATATATGCGATTGCATTTGAAACAAGCGAAAAAAAAATATCTATGACGTGATCATTGTGTCAATGGAAATCTTTGACATTCGAAAGAAAAAAAAACGACGAGGAAGTCGAATCATGCAGTTTATATCGTCTAACAGACTGTAATAATAAACATGTGTTGACATATTTCGCCTTGATTACTATTAGGAGTCGTAGAGTTGATAGTATATCAACCGATCAACTGGTTAATTTTTATCAAAAATTGATACGAAGTAGTCGTCTATCAACACGAGCATCACATGATGACGTGTGTGTGTGTATATATACTGAATCTCTGTTACTCTTCTGTCGGCTTGAATACGGGAAATCGGATAATCATAAGTAAATAGAGCAGAATGCACGAACTAGATTTCCGTCGATATTTTGATGATTAAGAAAAGGAGTATTGTAAACAGAAATGCTTCAAAAATAAAGTGCACTGCTATGTCAAGCACGTCGTATGTTTCTTGAAAAATCAAATCGATTAGATGCCGATGACCGAGTAACAAAATTTCAGAGCGTTGCCAATCGTTTGTAGAACATTTCGTTTTCAACCGGCTTAATGTATTTCATCATTCACCAAAGGATATACTTCTCCTTCGTATTGCTTTTTTCTTTGTCTTTCTCTTTCGTGTGATGATAAGTGGCCACTCAGTGAATATTTTTCTTCACTTTTTTCAATTCATTTCAACACGCGCAAAAAAAACTGAAAAAGTTTGCCCAAGGTGCTAAATCCTCTCTCTCCAGACACTCTCGAAACTGGTCACCTAACTACAATAAACACGCGATATGTCAAACAAAAAGTGCTTACAGTTCGTTTTTTCTTTTGTACAGTTTATTATTTATCAGTGCACACACTGTTTTCATGTAAAATGCATTGACGCATCTCACTGTGCAACAAAACCAAACACACACACGCACACATACAGATTTATACAAGAGAGAAGAAAACGAAACAAAAACGAAAACTTCATATTGCAGTCCATAGTACAATATGTACTATTTGTACATACCACTTTTAAGTGAAACAAAACGAAATATCTCACAAAAAAAAACTGTTACAATGTATTCAGTATAAATAGAAAAATAAAGGTATTCTTTATACAATCGAATAGTTAAAAGTTCTTGAATTTAACTGAGATTTTTCAATTAAAGTAAGATGTACAATTTTCATTAGTGCACGGACAATGAGCACGTCATTTGCATAGAAACAAACAGAAAAAAAAAGAAAGAAAATGAAGAGAAACCATTGAACTGAGACATAACGGACGGAAGAATAAAGTCAAACATGAAAGTATATTACAAAGAGTTTCCTCTCGATGACGAACTTGTTGATTTCGATGACGAAGAGTTACGTCCGGGACGTCGACGCGGTACGTGTGCTAAACATAAGTCTCTCGACGACGGTGATTTCAACCATTCAGATTGTAAACATTCGTCCAGCGTCGGCCTTTCAGAAGAGCGTATCGATAAACATTGTTCAATCAGTTGAATACAATCTATTCAATGAGAAAAAACAACATTGCCAAGCTGATACTTCTTAAAAAACAGTATTTTTCTCTTTAGTCAAGTATTTCTTCTCAAGCTGTTACTTCTTCGCACTGTTTGATTCCATACCTGGGGATAGATGAGCTGGAAATTGTGGTTGACACTTTACGATCGATAATTCATCAACAAAAGGAATATCACCACAAACGAGATCATACAATAAAATCCCTAACGACCAGACTGTTTGTGGTAAGCCAAAGTATCGACGACATGTCACCCATTCGGGCGGCGCATAACAAGCCGTACCTTCGAAATCTGTATAGATTCCTTCGTGAAATATCGCTCCCGAACCAAAATCGATCAGATAGATTTGTCCCGTACGTGTGTCGACAAGGAAATTTTCATCTTTGATATCTCGATGTAGAACCTAGAAGATAAGCGTTCGCATGCGCTGCTTTCCAGGAATCGATTTTACTTACTCCACATTGATGGACATCTTTAAGAATTTGAATGATTTGTTTAAGAAAATCACGCGCCAGACGTTCATCTATGCCATTTGGTCGTGCAGTAATAAAATCGTACAAATCACAGCAATGTTCAGGTCTTTCAAGAACGATAACGAGTTGATCATTGTGAATGAAATAGTCCAACATATGTATAACATTCTTAACTTTTGCTACACGTCGTAATAAAACAACTTCAAGTGGTAATCTTCCATCAGGCTAAAAGATGACACAGCAAGCAAAACAATGAATTATGACAAACAACAAAGTCACATTTTACTTACAGTGTTGACTTCACGCATACGCTTCTTCGGAACGACTTTCAGAGCTACTGGCATGCCATCTTTCTTTCTTATGCCCGCGTAGACTTCGCCGAAGCCACCTGAAGCTAGTTTATGTGCTATTAGATATCGAGCACGAAGAGGGTCAACGGTAGCTAAAAAAAGAGGAAGAGATTTGTTTCGATTCGAATGGGAACAGTTATTTAATACGTACATGAATTGCTTTTATTCGTCTGCTGCCGTTGATGATGAATCGTAGTTGGAGGTTGTGAAGGAGTTAAAACAAGTGTACTCATATTGAGAAAAAATATATCTATTCGTATGTATTCAAAATGCTTATGTATCTAGAAAAAGAACATTCGTGAATCATGAGTAAGATTGTGTGTTTGTGGGGAAAGAAAGGATATATTTTGTTATATTGTGGGATATTCTTGTCGAGAGGAGAAGTGAAAGAAAAAAGAGAAGAGAAGAAAAGAAAACGAGGACGATATATCTATCCAACAAAAACATAATTCTGCTTCTGTTTACTGCTTACCAAGCGACATGGCCTCTACACTACCGTTCACGAGAAAAAAAAGAAACAGAATGCGTCTATGAATGAGTTGTGTATGTATGCGTGTGCGTCGTATGTGCAGTGAAGAGAAAAAAGCGAAGAACAGAAGACGTCAATGATCATGTGAGGAGCGATGGAGGGCACACTGAATTGGCAAAAGGCCAGGACAAACGCTTGAATGAAACTAGTGCACAGGAGGCGTTCTTTTTCTCTTTCTCTTTCTCGTTCGCTTCCTCTCTATCCTTCTCATTTTGGCTCGCGATCAAAAGAAAAGAAAAGAGAAGAATGAGACCGTGTTCTTCTCTCCTTTGTTCTACACGAATATGTGTCTGTTCGAACGACTTTGTTAAATTAGAAGATGCATTGACAAACAATTGCTTTAATTAGAAACAAAAAGAAAAGACAACCATATGAGAGCAAATATCTTTGCCATCATTAAACTAATACGGTTTGGGAGACAAAACAAACAAGTCGAGTGAGAAAAAAAGAAATCTTCTTCAAAGAAGGGTGTGTTCTTTACATACTCGTTTGGATAATCTAAACAAACGAGGAAAGAACAGTCTTTCCCGACGTTAAAGTTTAAATGCGATAGACAAAGAACTGTCTGCTATATCGTAGACATGTATATATGTATCTGATGCGATGACGAAGAACGATAGAAATGGATAAAAATCATGATATTTTTCGTAGATTTATATAGAAGGGGTAAAGGTGATGATTGTAAAGGAAAAGGGAGGAAACGAAGAAATATTTCCAAGGAAATTTACAATTACATCTTCCCTTTTGTACATACGTCAATTCCCACGAAAATTCCAACTTTCCCAGCAATGACATTTCTTCCATCTATCAAAAACAATCGAACGTGTCGTACTGCAAACTATTGCATAAAAAAAGCATCTTTTTAATAACAATGAAGAAAAACAACAACGGCCTATTTTCAATCCCGTGTCCTGAAAAAAAAAACGAGCACATTCTATAAATATCCAAGTGCAGATACGCGTCTTATCAGCTTTATTTTTCTTTGTTCGCTACAAGTGAATCGCTGAAAAGAGAAGAAAAATAATATATAAAATAAAAACGTTTATGTTGATATTGTCTGTATTTACTTAACTACATCACTTCATTTTCTTTCTCTCACTGTGTCTCACAATCAACTGCAAGCAAATTAGTCGTGAAAAACGAGAAAGAAAAAAAACGGAAACGAACATATTTGATATTGATTTTTTTCTACGCTAGACATTGGCGACGTATTTTAATAACTGTTTTGTATCGTGTTGTATACCTTGACTTGATTGTTACCTATACTGATGAGTAATCAGAATGATTGAAGTAGGAAACGAATGAAAATATGTTGGCAGAGAGAAAAAGAAAATGACGAATGTCATAGAAAGCAAATAACAGATCAATTTCCTATCAAGATGGTTCGCTAATAAAATCAATGTTACAATTTTATCCATTATCAGTCTGAAATATTACAAGTGTAGAAGTACATGTTTATACCTTTGACGCGTCCTTTAAATATATGTATATATATGTCGATTTTTTTCTTTCTTTCTTCAATTTCCTCTTCTTACGAAATCGTGAGTCAAGATGTCTATATAAAATTCGTCAGAGAGGGGGCTTATCCAAGGGATCGTCACATTCGAAAAGTACATTGCATTATAATACCAACAGAGTAACACTAGAAAGTGTGGAACAATAGACAAATACATTATAACTACATTATTTTTTTTTATTGAGATGCAGTATGACGCCAAAAAAAAGCAAATGGCCTTTATATCTGTATCATACGTAATTTGTTTGGTCCTGATAAAATAGAGTACGATATAACTGACCTTGAAGAACTAATGAAGACGTCAACAAATATGCGTTGTTAGATTTTGCTTTTTTTTACGAGCAAGAACGCTGCATGTGAACGGAAGTTTCAATTTCAACATAGGCAATGATCACGAGCCTCGTAGGTTTTGTTTTCCGCTTTCACACATGTTTAACACCTATCCATTTGTTTTGCAGTCATTTCTAGAAAAATAGAACAGGATACACATTTCGGATGACTTTGATCATAGCCGATCGGATACATACAAATAGACTCATTCGCGGAAGAGAACACGACACCTTACTCGAGAACATCAAATAATCATGACGATGCTGATTTGACAATTTTTATTGACATACACATAATCAGGGAAGAAAATGTACCAATTCGCTTGAGAAAGGAAGTAATGACCTAATTATTGTGAAAATATGTTTTACAACTAATGATAGAGAGAAAATTCTTTTTTAACATGCGAACGTTCGTTTAATGAAAGTTAGTAACCATTTTTGTAATTTATTTTTGAAAGAAGTACTCTATTGATTTAGTGGCTCTAAAAAAACCAAATCGAAAAAGATTTCTCCATACACTTATGTGTCATGTCCGATAACATACGAGTCAATATTGACATGACAAAATGAAGATTGATCAATGAAAATTTCGATTTCGATTGATAACGAGAAAAGAAGGAATGTACTCAACAATGCACAAAGCTATTTTTAATAAGATAATGAAAACTGAGACGAAATCGATTGTATTTTTCGTTTTTCATTGTTTCGAATGATGTAAGTAAGCGCTCAGATTTCTCGAAATGCAATTTGTCATAGTGGCAATCGATCTACGCGACTAAAATATAATCGTTTTCTTCTCTTACATACTCCATAAACAGTCTGATTTGCTTGGAGAATCACTTACACAAGTAGTTGAAATGAGTTTTACTCATATGAGCAACTGGAATATATAGTCTGTCAATGAAATATTCAAAACAGGACACTCGATACTGTCAATAGAAAGTTCGCAGGACTAGTCTCATTTGATAAAACGGAACTAAATGATGAATTTTACGCTTTTTGATTTCATTCAAAGATTAAACAGACAAGCAACGAATCTACTATGCATAAATTGCGCATTTTAATCGTACTATACCTTTGTTCCCTACTTCAACAATGTTAATAGACCGAAAAAATGTTTCTTTTAATAAAGAATACGATTTCGACGAAAGGAATCTTCCATAAATATTCAATGAGAGAAAATTGCGAACGCAAGATGCGTTTTTGAATAATTCAATTCGAAAATATGTCGAACATATCTACCGAATGAACTTCTACTTACGACACAAAACGAATGAATCGTGCATGATTAGTAGATGTCTTTTGTCATTATTTAGCATCTGCTTCCGACACACCATTGGAGAAAGAACTGAACTCGTCGATCTCGCTTTCGCTACTGAACGTGTCAACGCGTGTCTTTGGAGTGGAGAACACTACAGAAAAAAAACTTTAGTAAAGATAAATATAGCTTGAACATGTTAATAAAGTAATCTATGTCACATGACAAGAATGACGATTTTTACAAAAGAGTAATTCTATTTTAGGGGTGATGAAACGATAAATAAAAAAAATATGAGCCTGATCCTTGAAATAGACGTGACAATGGAATTTCGGTGTGAGGGCGGGGCAGAGATTCATCCCATGTATGACACTGCTACGGACAGAATAATTGATTTTCCAACGAATAACAATAATGATACTTTATTGAATAGATATTCACTGTTTAAATGTGTACATTTAATACTCACAACTAGATTTAATAGTTGAGTAAACAAAACAACAAAGAAAACAAATCTACAAGAACAACAACAAAAAATAAATAAATAGATATTTGATTTTCATTCGGCAGGTTGTTCTGTTTGAATTTCTGCTTTTAATCGATCTGTCAAATCATCAATATTGTTATCATTCAAGCCAGCTGCTTGACTAGGATCGCGAGATGCGATGGGAGTGCTTAAAACATGTTGATATTCATCGGAATGGACACGTGCCCACGGTTGTAATTCACCCGAAGCAAACGATGTATAAAACATCAACACAAATACACAGATCACAATCGATATTATAAAGATGATGTTCCATTCGCGTTTAATCTACCAAATTTTCTATGTAAGACATCTTCTTCGAAAAATACACCAAACTTACGTGTGTATTTTCAACGATATAACCTGTCAAGATTGGTACTAAGAATCCCGGAATCGATCCAAGACAATTCGATACGCCCATCAAGATTCCGGCATAGTAAGCTCCAATGTCCAGATGATTCACGCCGAAACTCGCCCATGCCGGACCACAACTACTTGTCGCGATGATAACGCCGATGATAATCAATGCACGATGATGGGCGTCTAAGAGAGTAACCATGAGTAGAGCCAATGAGATAAAAATAAACGCTAGAGGAAATGAAACGAAAGAGACTTAATAGAAAATGATAGATTTGTCAATTTACATATCGACATAATTAATTTTCGAACGTATCCTGTCGAATGCTGTTGAGTTAAACGATCCGAAATAATTCCAGCGGCTGAAACTAAAACAGCTAACGGTAGCCAAGGAATGCCTGCGAGAACGCCAGCCTAGAGAGAGAGAGAGAGCAGAGTTGAGCACAAATTTAGGAATGATTGTAAAGTAATGGAACCTGATCAACTTGGTAGCCAAGTGCGCGCGAGAGAAATATTGGCAACTCAGTCAGCATCACATAAATACACCAATTCGTACCGAAATTTGCGGCAATAATCGCCCAGACAGGAAGCGATGTTAAGATATCTTTCCATGGAATGGAATAATTCTACAAATTTTGAATAGTTAGGCATTGAATGGAAGGAAAATTTGTCGGTTTTACTCGTGATACAGGATGAACTAGATTCGCCTCGATATATGCTGCTTCTTCTTCGGATATCGTTAAATGCGTCGAGGGAGACTCAGCAGAAAAGTAAAACCAACAAAGTGTCCACAGTAAACCAGATAATCCTATTGGAATCAAAGAAGATTTCTTTTCAATAATCCTTGTTTTGTGTTTCTATTTACCAGATAAATAGAATATCCATTGCCATGACCAATGAACAGCAATAAAACCACCGAGAAATATGGTTACAAATGTGCCGAAATAACTGCCTAGAAGTGCACAATTCGTAAATAAGATCGAGCTCATTAGGACATACCTGAAAATGCGATCGTTGCTAGTTTGGATTTATCATCTTTCGGTGCCCATTTCGACCAGATGAAATGAAGCGACGGGTAAATAAAACCCTTGAAATAGACAAAACAAATTCAAAATAGTGACTCTCATTCTCTGTTGAAACAACTTACGGAAGCAAAACCTTCAAGGATTCGAAGAATTATTAATGCCGTCGGACCAATATGAGCGCACAATGGTGTCAATAATGTTAATAGTGCACATAAACCTATACTCGTACCGAATAGAAGTCGTCCGCCTAACACTGTCGCTAAAAATCCAGCTGGAATTTGAATAGCTGCATAGCTATAGAAAAACGACGAAAGAATATAACCTTGTGTTTTAGTGCTCCAACTATATCCAGTCTTGAATAAAAACCAGAAAAAAAAGAATCAATATTGATATTCTGCGATAAGACCAAAACAGCACGCCCTTTCTGCTCTTACCGGTTGGATTATGGTTATATTAGATGGAGTGATATGAAATGTTGGTGTCACCATAGATACAATCGCTATTGATAGATTTGATCGAAGCATAAACGCATTGAAAAACCCGAGAAATGCCAAGAAACCTAAGATATAACGTTTGGGAATGTTTTTGTGCATGTCCCACGTAGTCATCGTTGTAGTTTTTCGTCTATCTGAAACCAGTGAACGAAAGAGAGTAAATAATAGTGTGAAAATATCGACGATTTATTTGAAACAAGCTTAGATGTGTTTTTGTGCGATCACTTTGTCTCGCATTGTGCACGCGTTAATGGCAAAATTATATTTTTTTTCCTGTATGTGTCTTATATATTCTCCGTTCTTCCCCGTTTTTTTTTCTCTCGGCAAAAAAATACAACAGTATGAGAACCGACGCACTACTTGGAAGTCGACAACTAACAATTGTGTGCTTCCACTAGAACAAAATTCTAGTTCTATTCATAACATCTACTATTTTCTTTTCTCTTCCCTCTACAATCGTTACTCTTCGTCTACTTCTCCTTAGTCGTTCGTATCAAAAAAGAACAAATTGAAGAGCTGGGTGCCTTTCTCTCTTTCGCCTCATCTGTTCAATGACATGCCATTTTTCTTTAATGATATAAAAGTATTTTACATAATTTTATTTAGATCATTCGTACACATATGTTGAAAAAAAACAATGCAAACTTGATGCAAATATCCGGATATATACACATTGAGGAGTTGTGTTTGGAATCAAACTAAAATGCGATGAAGAAAAACACCAGATGTGACTATTCCCAGCGTCTTAGCGATCGTTTGTATTCGTTTTCGATGTAACTAGTTCTTGAACGTTTGAAATTCGAGCGATTCGAATACGACGATGAACAATACTGATCGTCTTCATTCTCAGCATAATAATGACTCGACGTCTTATTCGAATTTACGTGACGAGAATCCATCGGTGTTTCCATTCCATAAGTTCGTGATCGATAATCGATTTGTCGGCCAGATGGAAATGCTTGACAATATTGCTCACGAGTAGTATATAACGATGACGACGAAGAAGTTAACGGGAGTGAGGATGACGATGAAGATAGTGGAATGCTTGATGATGTTCGATGTGTATCAGAACGATAGACAGGCGATGGTATAGAAGCAATTGCATAATCTCTCGATGGACCATTCCGTTTAGCTAGAAGACAGAAGTGATCAATTAAACATCGATGTCTTGAACGAAGTGAAAATTTACTAAAGATGTTTTGCAATACTAATGAACAGGTCAAATTACCCGAGGTAAAGACAGATTATATCCGGTCAACAGAGATGTGAATCACTTATTAATGAGCATAGAATATAAACAACAACTGTGTGAACAGCTTGAGATTAATAACAACAACATATCGTTCTGATATTACTTACGCGTGATATCGTATCGCTCGGGCCGACTGGTGTAATCATTTGTTTGATACGTGTCGTTGTACGTATCTGTGTTACTGCGTAGAGATACAGGTGTCAGCGAACGATAATCATCAGAAACATATGATTCATTGTGATTACTGCGAGGATCATAATCTTCTCGATAAGATGAAGATGGTCGAGGAGATGCGTCTCTTCTACAACAAAGATCGATTAAGATAACATTCATTCAATTTAGTTCACTCTACCGATAGATTGATGGATGTGGGTGTGGGAGTGGTGGCGATGGGTATCGATTCCGTTCTGAATTGGGATAATGTGATAGTGCATTCCGACCACGTGTTGATAATGAACTATAGTACAGATCAGTTGGAGATAGACCACCGAGTAGATTAGTTAACGGAGGTGTGTGAATATCACGACTAGTCTTTTGACGGTCTAATCGCGTCGATGAATAATTCAAACAGTCATTAGCTATTCGATTCGAGGATGAATACTCTTCATTCGCATAATGTCGAGATTTTTCTAAACCACGCGATGATGAATTTCCATTGCTATCAATGTGATAGTCGTTGTTACTGGAACAATCGAAATGAATACAATCAGATAGAAGTGCTTTATTGATATTCTTACCGATGATTTCGATATTTTAGTCGTTCGTCATACATTTTTCTCCCGTGATGGATTCGATATCCGTGCCGTGAACGATCTCTACCGATACGCATTTTTCTCGCGATAAATCGAGCACGAATAACACAAACAACTGACGTATATATACGACTGAGAATATCTGGAACAGATGTGGCAAGAAAAGAAGGAGAAAACGTCGGAGATAATCTATATTCTATGCCTTCTATCATTATTGGGAAAGAAAGAGGAGAAAAGTACTCTTGATGATCGTCATTTATGTATACGAACAGAATGAAAGACAATCATTTGCCGAGCTGATAGAAGATTGAAAGGGCATCTAGATCAAACCGGTGTTGTGGATGATTAATAGAGAAGGAAAATATCTTCATTGCCTGGCAGCGTTTCCATTCGTCAGTATCGTCATTTAATAAAGAAAAAAAAACTCGTTCCGTGTGTTTCCTACACACACATGCCGTGCTAGAAATTTAGTGTTTGAATATATTTTTTTAGTAAAAGACAAGAAATACAAGATAGAATAGATATGTAGCGAAAAAAGAGAACAAAAAGAAGAAGAAGAAGAAGAGCGAGGAATGAAGACAAGAAAAAGTTTAACATTCTGTCGAAGGATATTAGTTGTTCATGAAGAAGAAGGAGAAGAAGGAGAAGGAGAGGGAATAGATATGTCGACATGTACAAATCTGTCGTTGGTGGTGATTTATTTACATGAAGAATCTTCGAACAAATGATGGAAAAAGAAAACATAGAGTACACGAGACAAAACTAGAAAAAAAATGTGGCAGAAGAGTGAAAGAAGAAGTCAACGTCGTTCACGGTGTGTTTCAAGTATAGATTTTGGCGATTGAATCAGCTCCTACACTAGCCATATAGGGTTTTGAGGAATGAAATGCAATATCATGTATAGATTCATCATTTTTCTTTTGATGTGCTGTTAGTTCTTGAATACAGCTTTTGTTTTCGAAATCCCATAAACGAATTGAACGATCATGGCTGCCAGAGAGAAGACAAGTTTGTTGAGGATCGATCACTAGACAAGTTACACTATCGAGATGAGCGACCATTGAATGAATCATACGGCCTATATGGAGCAAATGCAAATACTACCCAAAAGAAAGTTCGTCCTTACCAGAATTACTATCAAAAAATCGAATGCTACGGTCGTCATGGGCGGTGATGATCATTGGTTGCGACGGATGACTAATTAATCGATTAATACGATAATTAGCATCTTTAGATGAACTCTCGTCATTGACCAGTTCTCTCAACATTTTACCAGTTTCAGTATCGTAGATGCAAGTTTTGAATGTATCATAAGTGACGACAAATTGGTTTGTATCTTGCATTAACCAATCGATTGATATCGGAATGCCTTCACCTAATTAACAACAAACACACAGTAATATATTGAAAAATGTGAAGAATGTCACTTACTAGAGTAGGTCGATTGTAACGGTTGAGATAGACTTGGATCCCATAAACGTACGGTTCTATCAGCTGAACATGACAATAATTTTTGACCGGATATCACTAACTGCCAAACAGCATCCGTGTGTCCATCCAACACTTTGTTTAACACAGTTGAATCTGAATAAAAAGAGAAGGAAGTCAGGTTCGAAAGAATATTTGCGACTTGGTTTCTACCATATGCATCATAGGAATCAATTTCGGAATTGGGAAAATTCCAAACGGAAATAATCGAATCCAGACCACCACTGTAGAATTGTTCGCCTGATGGGTTCATTGCCAAACACAGAACAGGACCACTAGAACAAGGATGAAGTTAGCACATTGGGTTATCGAAAGCGTATTTTATGTCTTACGTATGCCGCCGAAATGTATAAACTGGTTCAAGATCTTGCGTTGTTGTTGTCGATCTAAATCAATGACATTCAGCTAATTCTATTCAACAGTTTTGATCTTACTTTCTCATCGTAGCAGATTTCTCCAGATTCCATAATTTCAATGTCCGATCTTCGGATCCAGTTATAACAATGGACTCAACTGGATGAAACCCTACGCAACGTACTCCATCCAAATGGCTAAAGAGAAAATATCCTGGAATTTGTCTTCAACGAAATTTTGAACAGCAAACCTTCGTAAAGCATATTTAACATTCCAAGTCTTTCGAGAATCCGATGAATCGCTAGTCGTTGTCTACAAAAGCAAAATGTACATATAACATATAAGAACAAATATATTCGTACATCATCTTGAGGTTCATTATCATTGGACACAGTGACACGGGCTAGTTCATCGAGACCTTCCATAGCGTTTTCTCCCATGAAGTTTTTACTATTTCGAAACAGCATCGAGTCAACTAGAAGATGAGTCGAGAACAAGGCAATCATAGGTTTGAACTCGATGCATTTGCTTACTATGTTCTTCTTCGGGAAATGATCGTTGGTCCGAAGGAATATCAGCACTTCCATTATTCAAAAGACTTTTGCGAATGGATGCAGATGTGGCATTCGTTATCGTAGTTGATTGATAGGCCTGTTTAACTTGACGATCACGTTTGTATTCTTCTTTCAGACGATTGATTCGTGATGGATCCACATTCCATTCATCGGTGCCTATGTCGAAAACGAAATCAGCATCGACAATATTTGATTAGATGAACAATTATGCATACCAGTTGAGTTAAGCTCATTGATGCTTAAGCCAGTCGTGGCAGTAGCAGCATCTCCGGTAAGAAAGTCAAATTCATGCAAAGCAGCTTCTTCACTGTCAAGATCATTGAGTTGATCAAGTGCAGAATTAAGATGGTTAGCGTTAGATGGATTACCATGATTAGATTTCAGTAGGATACGATTCGTATCCAACGGGTCATCACTACGAATATAACAAACGTCGTGTGCTAACAACGCTTTCTAGCTTACGCTGATTCTTCATCGGCAGGATCTTCTTTCAGAAAATCTAATGATGCAAGAGATTTATCGAATTCGTTTGAAGCATTCTTGATTATATTAGGAATGATTCTAAAAGAAAAGTTAGATTGAAACGTTTTTTCAGGTATTCCTTGCAAAACAAGTCTTGCAATTTCTCTTCTATCATTGTAACTCTATCGACAAGTATCTGTGTTCGAACAAGTTATGTCTAATACCTTTTGG